GTAGATAAGACTTGGAAGGTTCAGGTTGTGACTGAATTTAATTTCTTCATTGGAACTAAACGTACCTGAATGTTCCTTTATGCCAGCGGTTCTCAACCCGTGGGTCGCGACCCCTTTGGTGGTCGAACTACCCTTTCCCCAGGGGTCGCCTAAGACCACCGTAAAGCACATAAACTCTACAGTTATAAAGAAGCAACGAAAATAATTTTGAGGTTGCGGATCACCACAACTTGAGAAACCGTATTAAAGGGTCGCGGCATTAGGAAGGTTGAGAGCCACTGCTTTATGCCATTCCTGAGAATTATACAGGCCAGACAAACCATCACATCCGTAATTATTGGGTTTCAATCGTCTAATTCTTTCACACGTCTAGTTATTTCACACGTCTAGTTATTTCAAACGTCTAGTTATTTCACACGTCTAGTTATTTCACACGTCTAGTTATTTCAAACGTCTAGTTATTTCAATCGTCTAATTCTTTCACACGTCTAGTTATTTCACACGTCTAGTTATTTCAAACGTCTAGTTATTTCACACGTCTAGTTATTTCACACGTCTAGTTATTTCAAACGTCTAGTTATTTCAAACGTCTAGTTATTTCAAACGTCTAGTTATTTCACACGTCTAGTTATTTCAAACGTCTAGTTATTTCAAACGTCTAGTTATTTCACATGTCTAGTTATTTCACATGTCTAGTTATTTCACACGTCTAGTTATTTCAAACGTCTAGTTATTTCACACGTCTAGTTATTTCAAACGTCTCGTTATTTCACATGTCTAGTTATTTCACATGTCTAGTTATTTCAGACGTCTAGTTATTTCACACGTCTAGTTATTTCAAACGCCTAGTTATTTTACACATCTAGTTATTTCAAACGTCTAGTTATTTCAAACGTCTCGTTATTTCACACGTCTAGTTATTTCACACGTCTAGTTATTTCACACGTCTAGTTATTTCAAACGTCTAGTTATTTCACATGTCTAGTAATTTCACATGTCTATTTATTTCACACGTCTAGTTATTTCACACGTCTAGTTATTTCAAACGTCTAGTTATTTTACACGTCTACTTATTTCAAACGTCTAGTTATTTCACACGTCTAGTTATTTCAAACGTCTAGTTATTTCAAACATCTCGTTATTTCACACGTCTAGTTATTTCACACGTCTAGTTATTTCACACGTCTAGTTATTTCAAACGTCTAGTTATTTCACACGTCTAGTTATTTCAAACGTCTAGTTATTTTACACGTCTAGTTATTTCAAACGTCTAGTTATTTCACACGTCTAGTTATTTCAAACGTCTAGTTATTTCACATGTCTATTTATTTCACATGTCTAGTTATTTCAAAGGTCTAGTTATTTCACACGTCTAGTTATTTCACACGTCTAGTTATTTTACAGGTCTATATTTTTTCAAACGTTCCTGTGTCGTAAAATGATTATCTAAAAAGTTTGGTGAACATCTTTTTGTCCCCATGGCTGTAATTAATATCATTACATCAAAGAGGGTACAGACTTAAAATATTGATGACCAGTTTTTGCCGAAGTATATAGGAGACTGACACAGGTTTTGATTCGTTCTCACATCAGTTACCCCAGAAGGTAAGTTCAACTTATTGTCTTATTAACATAAAAAAAACTCGTGTTGTCGCATCTTTTTTTAAAGTGATGACATTGATATTACTTGTACTGGCTACTTATGGGAGGATAGTGCTTCTGTTTTAGGCACCTTTCACATGCCCTTGGATTAGCTAATTAATGTTTGACCCACACACGATGCCCAGCTCTAACTGCTTGCTATTAGAGGCTGTAGCACTCACAGCGGCCACATCCCGAATATTTAAGGACGTACTTCTGAAATGAACAATACTTAAAGGACAAGCTAACAGAAATTCGATTAATTATTTTTTAATTTAAATTTTGATTTAAATCGTGACAGAATATCAAACCTGCTGGAACAGCGCAACAACGATTCTTAACTGAGATGACCTCTGTCGACCTGGGACGTTTAGGAAACTATAAATAGCTGTTATGCCAATCTAAACAAAAATACATTTAATGGGCACGGTAACACTGTTGTAAGATGTACCCAAATCTCAAAACTCAACGATTTTCGTCACAGGTAAAAAGAGATTAAGATTTTATTTAAAACTAAGAAAATATGTGTGTGTTTTTTTTTTTTCCATTTTCAAAAATATGTTTCAGGAGCGAGGTGAGGGTTTTGGTAGATGTGAACATATTTATGAACAAAAACCTCATCTGAAAACCTAAAGTAGTTAATGACTCAAACATGTTCATGGTACATTTTCATTATAACGTTAAATGAAAATTGAATTCAGATTAACACCCGTTCATTTTACAGACATTATAATAAAATATTTTAATTTATTGAAAATAAATTTAATTGCTGGGGGGAAACATGTTGGTTGTATTTAAATAAGTAGACACCTTATCTGGAAATCTCTTAATGTTACAATTATTGACATTTGTACAAAATAATTTTATTAATTAAGTAAATTAAATTTAAACATGTTTTTGAACATATGCAACAATTACTTTTAAACAAAAGTATTTTAAAATTAGAAAAATAAACATTTTCAAGACGTGGAAATGTTTCAAAAACATTTTTTTTAAATTCAAAAAATCCTAACATAATTCAGTTATATGAGTAAAATATTACTTTTACAATTCACCTTTGTATGCTGAAATGTATTTAACAGTTTATAGTTGATAAAACATCTAAATATACAAAAGCACTTTCACACTGGAATTGCCAATCATTAGATTACGCCTCAAGAACCCCAGGGTCTTGTTTGCCTGGTTGCACACATTGTTAATGTGATCGTCCCTGCGGACCTCTCTTTGAATGATAACACCCAAGGACCTCGCGGAGGAAACTGGCTCAAGTATATGACCATGCAGTTAGTAAGGTGTACAACTTCTAGAGACTGACAGTGTCTGGCACTTGACAGGATGAAATTTCATGTCCCAGCTCATCTCCCGCTCAGCTAACAGATTGAGATTCTGTTGTAGCTGGTCCTGTTCAGATCTGTTGGCGATTGTCCTAAACATGGCCGTGTTATCTGCGAACAGTCTTGCTTGGGATGTCAGTTTCTCGGGTAGGTCATTGATGTATGCTAGGAACAAACAAGGGCCTAGCACCGATCCTGTGGAACCCCTGACTTAACACCGAGAAAGGAGGAGCTTGTACCGTCCACCACTACTGCCTGGCATCGGTTGCTGAGGAAGCTAGAGATCCATGTTTTAGTAGTGCCTTGGATCAGATAAATCTGAAGTTTGAAGCAAAGTATGACTGTCACAGTAAAATCCTTTGAGAAGTCCATAACCAGCACGTCAGTTTGCTGGTCATAAAGCCTTCTACAAATTCAAGGAGCTAGGTCTCACATGATCTATTGACTCGGAAGCCATGTTATCAGTCATTGAGTATATTTTGGCTTTCAAGTTGCTTCATGACTGCGCTTACGATTATGTACTTTCACAGTTTGCATACCACGCTGCTGAGGGATATCGGACGATAGTTGGCAGGGTCGGAATGCTCCCCTTTCTTGTAGATTGGAGTGAAAAGCGCTGTTCTCCAGTCTGCTGGACCATTGCCTGTGCACGGCGACGATTGGAAGAGTATTGTCAGTACAGGAGAGATTTCTTTGGCTAATTCTTTGAGCACTCATGGTTTGATGTTGTAGGGATTAATGGTTTTGAGGAGAGAAAGCACACCCTGCTCTGAAATCTGGATGCCATCCATGACGGTTTAGGCTCTGTTCATCACGTTAGTCTTCAGAAGGAACTCAGCCTTCAAATTATCTCTACCGTCAACAAAGACTGACTGGAACTGCTTTTTTAGTATGTCCGCCTTTGCTTTTGGGTCAGATATCAAATGGCCATCCCAACTCAAGGGGGAAACTCAAGCGTTTGAGGACTTTTGGTGCTTCACATAGCTCCAGAATCGCTTGTTCTTGACAGCCTTTGTCGGAGTGTTTCCTTCTGAAAAGATTCCGTTCAGGTAGTTCCAGTATGATCTGTGCAGTATGCTTTCGATGGTTCGTCGAAGCCTCAATACCTCCTCTCTCAGTTCTACAGGGACATTTTCCTTCTATCGCTTGTATTTGCAGTCTCTCCTAGTGGATGTGCATGTTTTTTTTTTTTACTACTGACATTGATGTTACTATATGTGATGTATGGGTTATTTAAGGAGGGATAGTACCTCTGATTAGGCAGCGGTCGCATCTCTTTGGTGTGGCTACTCAATCTTGATCGACACACGGTGCCCAGTGCTCAATGGTGCACATTTTGTTGTCCAAAATAGTGCGTCCAAAAAAGAAATGTGACTAAATTTTGATCGTGTGAACTGAGCATAATATGTTTTCCATTCATTACAATATAACCGCTCAAGTAGTTCCTTACTTTCTATAATTTGGTTGCATGTATCACTACACTCACGTGAAATTGTGATTGCGAGTCAGCAGCAAGTGAACATCAAATATCTCTATGCTATTGAAAAAAAAAAGAAATCTGTCCAGTTCTTTACGTTAACAGAAAAATACTTTTAGAAACGTAACAACAATATTTTCATTCACAAACATCAATCAAACTATAGTGTAATGGACACACAATTTGTAATCACACGATTACAGAGACATTAAATGGATTATTCCCTCTACCACCAATAGTTTTAAAATGAATGCTGACAAATGTAAAGGGGGAAAATGGATTTTTTTTTTAATAAATGCATAAATTATGTACGAATTATATTGTTTTTTAATATAAATTTAAATATAATGGTGCTGTTTATATCTTGAGTACCAAAATGGATTTACACTAAATGTGAAAACATCACAGATGACATAATGCGCATAACTCTTGTTTACGGAAAATATCATAAATTATTTCCCTTGTTCTTAGAATTTGTTTTGGAAAATCCCACAATGTTCCCGATTGTTCCCGCGAGCCATGTGATTTTAAATCCACCAATGGAAACCTGATTTAGACCCTTATCAACATCCCGCCAAAAAGACGACCAAAAAAAAAAACTTTTCACTGTGTTGTGCATTGTAGTGTTTTGTTATTCATTATTATTACACAGAAAAAAGAATCAATTACACGTATTTGGATTTGGACACTACTGTGAGACCCACTTGTAGCTAACAGGCATTATATATATTTGCTGTGCTTATTTAAAGCCGTAAGTAGGTCAGTTGTCTAATATGTTTTTTAAATAAATTATGTTTCTTAACGCAGCGGTTCTCAACCTGTGGGTCGCGACCCCCTTTGGGGTCGCGCGATCCTTTCCCAGGGATCGCCTAAGACCATACGAAGACACATATACTCTACAGTTATTAAGTAGCAACGAAAATAATTTTGAGTCTGGGGGTCGCCACAACATGAGGAACTGTACTAAAAGGTCGCGACATTAGGAAGGTTGAGAACCACTGCCTTAACAAGTCTGAATCAAAAATGTCCCAGATAGGGAGACAAAGGCGAAGAATAAGAGAAAGAAAGAGACATTGGTAATAAATTTACTGTAATAGAACCATGCTACATGACAAATGTTTTCTAGTGATGTTTGATTGCATACATTAAATGGTAATATTTTATTAACATAAAATTACTAACAAGAACATATTTCTTTAGTTATGTAATATTAATGACGAGTAAAGATTTCCTCACATTAAGAACACATTAATATCAAATAAGTAATATTCTAAACGATTTCTCATACATATCGCAGTAAACATATTGTGTTGGTGAGATATGAGCATGGAGAGGGGGCAATAAAGGTGGATTCTGTGTTGGAGATCGTGGTGGAAAAGCGACATATCATGAATAAACCTTGACCCACTTAGATTATCACTCTTTTTTTCTGACTCATCACTTCCAAGAACGTAGTAGAGGGGGAGGGAGGGGGCGGCCTGTCAGGACGGCATTTATTTTGCTATCGGGGTGGCACATTCTCATGTTTCTACTATAGATGGCAAATATATCTGGTTTGATGTATATTGTGTGTTGTTGCCTACGTGAGTGAGAGGCGGAAACTATCAACGACCGTTCATGACTTCAGTCTCTAGCTTCTCCACTGATAAGATGGCATGATTTCAGTTGTAAGCGATAATTGCATTGGCTTAATTCTGAATGAAGATGCATCCATTTATAGCAAAACTATGACTAATTAAGTACACACACAAAAAAACCACAAATATTGGGTGTGCTATATCATCTGTATCATTTCATTTAGAATGCCATCCTCGCCTATCAGCCTTCAGCATCTCCCCCAATCATTCACCGATGATTCTCTTTCAGGCCTCCTCCCTCCCTTGATATCTCCCCTCACGTAATTCCACCAACATCACTCCTCTAGAACTCCTTTGAACCTTACATCTAACACGCAAACTACACCTCCCCCCTCTCCAATAAACACTGCCCTTGACTCCCGGGACACGACGTTTCATCTATATTCTCTTAACGTATAGTTTCTTTCTCAACCCTATCCACCACATGTGCCTTGCATTTACCAGAGAGCATACTTGAATCAATTTATAAAATGTGTCTTATAGTTAAAATATTAATATTAATGTTTTGGATTTATGCAATCCGGACACTTTGACTCTATCAAAGGTTTAAAAGGAACATTTTTTAGAGTGTTTTACAGAATTTTTGTGTAATAATCAAATAAATTCTCAACATTATACAAATATAAAATTATGCATTCTTACTTACTGAGAGCCGAATGTTTATAGGCTATAATTATTAAACCCACTTACAGTAATGCATAGAGTAGAGATCGGTCGGCGCATGATTCATTAACAACACATCATGTACAGGGACCAACTGATATTTTTAATTCAGTTACACGAAGTTTCGCTTGACATGCAGTGTGTGGAGGCTTGAGTGCAGATCGCAGGAATGTGGAGCAATGTTTATTTCAGACTCATTTCTGTAGGTCGGAGGGATTTCTTTTAGGCGTTCAAGATGGGGAAGCATCTATCAGCGCTGAAGCTAGACATAATGGTGCCCAGTGCCTGCTCTTGGAAAAACTTAATTCTGGCTGTGACATCTTGGGATATGCTTTTGGCGGCTTAGCCTTAAACCTAGAATCTATATAGTCCAGCTAAATATAAATGTATGTGTGTGTGTATAGATATATAGATAGATAGATGTATAATATATATATATATATATATATATATATATATATATATGTGTGTGTGTGTGTGTGAAAATCTCTTTAATTACATCTAGTGCTTTCTTTAAGATGAAACGGTGCCTCTGCAGTCACTTTGATCGGGGGTGGCGGGGAAGAAGAAGAAATCTAGGGCACCGAAGGCTCTCGGGTTAAGGTGGGGGGAGTGTCCTGAAAAGGGTCTTCGTAATAAAAATTTTGATGATATAATATCCAGGGATGCATATTAGAAAGTACCTGAATTTGGTTTTGTATCCTTCTAGATTGAAATCCTTTATTTATTTATTTTAACTTAATATTAACGTCTTTTATTCTTTCTATTAAAATTATTTATTTCCTTTAACTACTTCTCTTAAATTGAGTTATAAAATTTAGTCTGAAAAGATGACGGTACGTCGTTTTATCACGTGCCCTCCAAGAAAGTAATGCTAACATCATAATCATGTTAAACAAACAATGAAACAAATGCTAAAGTAATACTCTTTTAGCAATTATTTAAAAATCTTAGTATACTAAAGTTTGATTTTATTCCAAGGTTTTTAAACAGATATAATTTTGCAAAAAGTTATATATAGATCTAATAAAACTTTCTTTTTTTTTAATAATCTTTTAAATGAATTGCATATTTATGTTAAGAAGACAGGAGATAGTTACAAAAGGTATCATAATTAGTTCCTTTTTTTCTTTCTTTTTTTTTTTTTTTTTTTTTTTTTTTTTTTTGCTGGCATCCGTCCGTTACAATGTGACGATGGAGTGGGCTTCGGAGGACGAAATCCACATGGCCTGGGATTATTCTTCAAGAATTTATAAGCTGGTTCCCAACAGCACATTGCCTCTCTCCACGTCGCTGGAAATAGTTCTTTATTCATTATTTAAACACCGTATTCAGTTTGAAGCAATATAGATTCCCAAAACAATTAGTTTTTTATTTTTTTTATTTGGAATTNTTCTCTAAAGTTATGCACCACTCAATCCCTTTTCACGCCCATGTACAACAAAGAAAAATTCATTGTCCAATTTTTTTTTTAAAGTGTCCTAAACTTAAAAAATAATATGTGTAACATTTTAAATATCTGTTAACATACCGATTTAATGTATTGGTTACTTGCAATGTGAATAAATATTCATATAAAGATTTTTATTTGAAGGGAAAGTCCGATTTACCATTTCCTTATCATAAATTTCACTTTTCTCCTCAACATTTTCTTATGGGATTATATATTTGAGGAAGCTCAAAGGCACGAGACAGAACACAGACGCTTTAAGATGTTTCTGAATCGTTATATCATAAACAATCTTCCAGATTTGAGTTGCCTATGCAGCCAATTCTAGAAGCTAAATGAAGGACAGTGGTCAAGTTTTTTTCCTTATAGTTGACAATCATGGACAATATCAACTCTCCAGATTTTTTTTTCTTAACGCTCTTATTTTTTGCGTAGGAAAGTTTTTTGTGTGAAATTGGATGCCGTCTTTTAATCTGGGTGGTTATGACCTGCATCTTCTCAAAATAAAAGCAAATAGGTCCTTTCAACCTGGATATTTACCAAGAGTACTAGACAAATACGACGCGATCGGTGAACAAATCGTGGAGACGCAATCACAGCTTGTCTTAAGTTAACGACAGGGATTTGATGTTCAGCCTTGTGTAATATATATTTATTTTTTTTAATTTTATTTTATTTTTTTTTAAGTTTTGAGACAACAAAACGCTGAAAAGTCTGCTTAAATTAATTTAAACTCTACATTTCACATATATTTTTTTATTTTTTACAGATTTTATTTTCATCAAACAAGCACAAGTCCAGTATATTGACAATTTACGAACATTGGAATGTCTGAAGTGGTCTCAAGGCCAACATATAAACAAAGACTGGTGGAGTGCATTCGGGGGGTATTCTGTGAACGGACTTACACACCTCAGTTTTTCAATGTCCTTCGTCACGAATGGCCTGAGATGCTTTCAGAGGAGGATGTCGTAAGAATAATAATTTTCAACATATGTATGTCGTTGTTTTTGAGATCACTTCGCACCATTTGGGATTTTAAGATATCAAACACTTTCAACATAAAATATTGACCCTTAAATATTGAAAAATTCATTCTTTAAAGATTTTTGCTCAATTTCTTTTACTATTACCGGTATTTTTGTTGTATATTTAATTTTAATCACAAACTACAACGATTTCTAAAAAAATAAAATAAGGTATTGTTTTTGTGATGTTCTTTTCTTAATGATTCTTATTGTTGTATGTTTCGTTTTTTTGTTACTAGGGTTTTAGAAAAGATATGTTGAGATAAGTCCAAAAATAAATTATACTTTGCTATCTAATTTTATGAATAGTTTTCATATTACAAAAGTAATTAATTACTTTCTTTTTATCGGAAAGAAAATTTACAAATAGTATTTAAAATGTAGTTAGTCGTTTAGTTAAAGAAATGTTCTTTAAGAATGAAATTAAAAAAGCTACAAATGTGAATTGTGTAGAATAGTCAAATGGCATCTTGCTCATTTGGCAAGCTTGTTTATATTAGATGGTGTTAAGACTGAATAGATTTTTATTTTCATTTCCATTTAAAACTAAAAAGAGAAACCTTACCCAGAGGGTTCACCCCCCAAACCTGGGAAGCCGTGAAATACTGGATATCTTGATAGTCCATGATAACTGGTTTGATTGTATTATTGAGATATTATCCCAAGACAGACTGCGTGAATCAGATTTAGCCAGGGAACTTTTAACAATAAAAGGTCAGTTACATCTAGCTCCACATTTCATACAATGAAACTATCGAAAGACGGAAGCTATTAGTGTATGGAACATTTTTACATCTTTTACGTTACAAAATGGGTTGATGAATTAACCTTTCAATATATAGAGTGGACATAGCATAGTATAATTATGACTTTTTCTAATAATTATGGCGATGTTGAATCATATATATATATATACAGAAAGGACTAAACTTTTGGATGAAAAGATGACAATAATATTTTTTTTCAATCAACAGACAATTTAGATGAGAGGATGCGTCACGAAAGAGAGTTAAGTACAAATAAGTATCAAATATATCCCCGATCATTTTACATATTCAAGTATTAAACTGTTGGAAGTGAACATTTCTAAGGTAGACCTTGCCACCACTGCGTTGTATTATGGACTTTGTTATCGAATTTCATTTGTTCCCATTTAAAATGTTGGCCCATCCGTAAAATATTGGACAAATAATGTTGATTCTGGCAGATGTGGAGTTTGGGTATTCACTGATTTCTTTGCGCACCAAATCGTGTGTTTTATTGCGCTCGGTGTGTCTTGTGGGCCAGTTTAGCTAAGGAACGCGTTTGGCGTCATTAGGCTTGTGACGTGTGACGACGTTTCTGATTTGTAGCTGTGACGTCTTAAGTCTGTCTTTGGTATAAGTGCCATTCGTCTTCCAGTTGGTTTGAGAACATTGTGGAAGAAGGGTGTGCTATTTTATTCCGTTTATCTATAGTTATAACAAGCTGCGTTATACATGTCATTGTGTTTGATACACTGTAAAACCTGCTAGAGAGTTGTTATCCGTGTTTGATTCATTGTACAGCCTGATAGAGAGCTGCGTTAAACCTGTTTTTGATGGACTGTACAGCCTGATATAGAATTGCGTTACACGTGTGTTTGATTCATTGCACAGCCTGATAGAGATGCGTCACACATGTATTGTATTCATTATACAGCTTGATAGAGAGAAGAGTAATAAATGTGTTTGATTCACTGTACAAATTTACACACACACACACACATATATATATATATATATATATATATATATATATATATATATATAAAGCTTTTAATTAGGCGTGTATTTGATTGTGTTCTGTACGCTTATAACAGCCACTATAATTTATAATCTTAAAATGTACGCCTCTCTCGCAGGATCAATCTCTTCCAGCGTCAAGCGTAACTGAAAGCCTGCATGAGATAATAGTCGTGCATGATGACGAAAACCAAGACAATGAACAAGTAGGTGCCTGTGTCAGCATCGCAGTTCTTTAGAAAGACTTTGAGAGCTGCTTCACTGACCGATAATTGGCAATTTCCTAAAAATCGCTATTTAAAAGTAAAATAATTAAACTCAAAGGAAGATTTCGTCTTTCATAGAAAAGAACATCTTCGTATCCTGGATTGTTTCGTTATTTATCAATTATTTATGTTCGGACTTTTCTCAAAATAATTTTCTTTGTTATTTTTCATATTGGACTTTCCACATGGGACTTTGCATAAGGTAGTCATAATGAAACTGGATTAGGGGGTCAGTTAGGTTCCCTAATTAAGTTTCTGGCTGACCTTTCAAATAAGGGTTTTCATTTTTAGGTTCATTGTTTAAAAAATACTTAAGTACGGTAACTATTTTTGAACAAAATGTGGTTTTGTTGTTCATGTTTTTAACTATAGCGTGCTACCGGTTTAAATCTTACTAGAATATTATGTTAGCCTTGAATGGGATTATTTTTAACGATATTATTAAAACGTTAATCTAAGTATTTATGAGTATTAGTAATATTACTTATTTACTTTAAAAAGAAAGTACAGTCTAAAATGTTTTTATATGTGATTTCAATGTTGGACATCACAATTTTACCACTCTCCAGCTAATTTTACAAAGTATTAACCCTTTCAGGCCCAATCCCTTCCAATGCCAAATAGAACTGAAGCGCCTCCGGAGATTCCGGAAGTTCAAAGTGCCCAGGACCAGGAGAATGCATGTCCACGCTGTAGCTCTGTGGTCACACTTGTGCGTGAAGCTGGTGGACCTTACGAGCCTGGGCGGTGTTTGGCCATGTATAGCTCTGTAGAGAACACTGTACTCAATGTGGGCTATTTGAGAACTCAGGAGCCCCAATTCTGTGCCTATGCCAACAATTCAAACAAGTAAGTAAACAAATGAGATTCTCAGAAAAAGAAAATAAGCATGATTACAAAATAAGCATGGCCCCAGTAACAAACACACACAAACACAGATATATATTGATCTAGTTTAACAACAATGTAAATTAGGTCGTAAAAAACGCTAAACAATACCAGTAGCATAATACAATGTAAATTTAGGGCTAGAATTATCAATATTTTACAGATACAAGTAAGGATATTTATACATTGCCTCACTTTGTAAAATCATATTCTGAATTAAACTAAATACGTAAGTCCGTATAAGTTTGAGGTATCCATCATTAACTGATAGAATATTTTCACTTTTTTTTTAGGTCGAATTTTCGTTTGGCTTGTATGGTCTACGAAAAATGGGTAGCTCAGTTTGTTAGAAAACCAAGTCAACTAGAGGTCCCTCAATGCGTTCAAGGTCGTATTGGAACAATGTTTCCTTGTGGAAGGAGAAGGCGACAAAACAGGAGAATGTAAAATAACACCGAAAGTGAGGGGTCAGTTAAGGAGAGTATGAACAACTTCGCCTCATCCGAGACCTGTCATTCCATTGAACCAGACCTAATGGTGTCCCAGAGGTTGACGTCCAATCATCACTTGTCCCTGTCTCAACTAACAAAGTATTTGTAAAGAAAGATCCCTCAAAGATTAAATGGTGTTAAAGATTGATGTGTTTTTGTTCATTGTCTCTGTATTTGTTCCTGTGTGAGACAATGGGGATTTGGGTGTCTTGAGGCTGTTTGTATGACATGTGGGTTTTACTGTCACGTGGTCACCTTTAGATTTAATTCAAATGAAATTGCGTATTAAATTTAAATTCTTTCCATTTTATCTTTTTTATTTTCCTGCACTTAGTTCATTACAAATAGGTATAGAGGATTTTTTTGTTAAATCGGTCTTCCTGTACCATTACACCAAAAATTAACAAAGGAACTAGGATTAAAAAACCACTAAAAACTAAGTTTTTCGTATAAATACGTTATAGGCATTTTGGTTTGCATTTACTTAATTGTACGTGAGTTATCATTTATCGAGAAGCGGTTTACTTACAGGGGTTAACTTATGGCGAAAACTTTGTTCATGTTTCCTTCATTTTGCTCTTCACAAATATATATTATTTTTACTGCATGCCCAAATAAGTCACACACTCAAAACACACAGCAACAGCTACACACTAAATCTCCATACCAAAACACGCAATCGTTGAACCAATCATATTGCGTTCATCTACCCCTTGAATAAACGGAAAAACTGATTTTGGAGTCGGGGGGGGGGGTGAAAGAATGTGTTGTCATCGGCAACGAGCCCATGTGCCAAGTTTCAGCTTGATAGGTTGACGGGAAGTGGTAGGCCCGTTCTTAGTATACGCTGACTACGCATCCGCGTAGGGCCCCAAACGTGAGGGGGCCCCCGTGTGGTGTTTTTTCCTCAGCTCAAGGGAGCTCCACCCCCGGACCTCCCTTCCGGGGCCCCCAACCTACGCCCCATGCTTAGGGCCCCGAACCTCCTAAGAACGGCTCTGGAAGTGGGTTAATTAACCTTACGAGGATTTTGCCAAAAAAACAAGAAAGAAACACACAAACAAAAGCGAATTTAATTTTTAAAAAATAATGGATTTTAAAAATAATGGATTTGTGTGCTATGCCTTCTGAAAATGTTGACGTTGCTCGGGACTTTTCCGATATTCAGTTCAACAAATAAAATTAAATGAAAAAAAACAACAAAAAAAACAACAGCCTCTGAGAAAAAAATGCGTTAACTCATTTTTATGCAGGACATGAAAAATTTGGTAGCCAGCTAGCTGCCTTGTGTTGTATGCTGTAAGATCTGTGGCTACGAGTAATAAAATATAGAGAACATCGTGGCTCACACAAGAAGGCAATAGATACGCAATGTGCAGATAGGCGCCTATACTAAGCTATACACCTACTTTTTTTACGTATCTATGTCAAGTAACCCCTCCCCTTAACTTTACCAGGTCAATTGATGCACGATATTTTAGTTTTTGAAAATACATTCAGGGTCCAAATTCATCAAAGGAAACTTTTTTTTAAATTTATTTTGTCCTTTCAGACAGATCCTAGACACAAAATATCGACATTACGGTGCATCAAAACTTCACCATGCTACAATGCTGTCATCGTAGTCCACAACATTGGATAAACTTAAATATCATGCCATTTCGAAACAATTTTGTTTAAACTTTTATTTTCATAGAACCACTTTTATCAGCTTTGTTGACATTTCCAAGAAACTTCTTCAACGTAGCCAAACACTTTCTGTGATTTAAGTTAATTTTATATTTCCCTTTGTACCTTCAAAATTTTAATTGTCATTTTTTTTCCTGCTAAATTTTTGTCAAACCCGTCGCCATTGTTTAGTTGCGACCTGCTTTAAACTGTCAGCAACTGGCTGCCTCATAATCGCTTGAAAACATTCAATAGCACTATTTAGAACCACTGAATTGTGTGGCACGTCATTCAGCGTTTTATACCGTACGTCTATTTCATCGGCCATTATATCAACGAAGGACTAGGACGCTCGTGATATGAAGTTAAACTGAACCATTGTAAGAGGGAAGTTTTACATTGATTATCGTACTGTTACTTCGAACTTGTAATTGAATAAAGTCACTAATCAAATCACCCTAGAGCAGGAAATGTAGGCCGCTGTTCATCTTCTGGTAAAGATTTTTGTAAAGATATTTATTTTATCTCATAAATACAGTTGGGTTCTTTTATCTATCAATTTTTTCCTCATAGATATGTACATTTATTGATATATCCAGTCAAAGGTAGACGATTAGCAGTAAATTATTTATTTATATCAAATTATTTCTGTTATCTCTTTTATTCATTTATTAAAACATAATTATTGAAATTTAAAACACGCTTGAATCCCTCTTCAGTTTCTTTCCACTCTGACTTTCAAGATGTCCTCTTCCTGCACTGGGCACTGCAACTGCAATGTATTCAGTCGCCTCTGCTTACACCAAGAAGATGATTGAATAAATAATTCATTATCATCGTTGTTGGGTTTTCTTTGCACATAATGAAGTCTAAAACTGAAGAGTTGGTCCCCGAAAATACAGACGAACATAATCAGCCTTAAACACAAATCGTAAGGGATGAAATACAAACTTTTCTTTTTTTAAACTAAAAGACAAAATAACTATTAAAATGCATGTATAAATAAATTCGTAGGTCTCAATCTAGAGCTTTGAAGACACTAATAAATTATTAATTTATTAAGAAATTAATTTTACGTTTCTCTTACGTTCTCTGAGACAAAATATTTCTGAAACAAAGCCACAAATTTAGATGTAGCAACTTGAGACTTAGAAATATATAGTCTGCAATAAAGACATGTGAATATGTCATGAGTGAGTAAACAACCTTTGACCCCAGTATTTCATTACCTTTTGGGATTATGTTTCAGAAAAAAAAAACTTTTGAGACCTAGCACAAATGTTAATTTCTTAGTCGCAGCACTGAAAGTCTCATCTTTGTATTTCTTAGTCACAGCACTGGAAGTCTCATCTTTGTATTTCTTAGTCGAAGCACTGAAAGTCTCATCTTTGTATTTCTTAGTCACAGCCCTGGAAGTCTCATCTTTGTATTTCTTAGTCTCAGCACTGGAAGTCTCATCTTGTATTTCTTAGTCACAGCACTTTTATTTCTTCAACAATAAGAAAGTTTTTTTATTAAACGGTGAACATTAATAATTGTTCAATTTCAATCCTTGTCAGGTCCTAATTTTCTTTAAACCACTTTATTGATAAAAGGTTAACAATAATATTTTTAAAGAAAAAAAAAATAAATCCATTGGAAATGTAATTGAAATTAGCATTTTCCTTGAACAAAGTGATTCCCAGCGTCGTTAAAGGCAATTTTTACTATTTCTGACTAGGGCTGGCACTGACTTTGCTCATTCACCAGGGATGGCAGACTTTCAAGGTGCGCTGTTCAGAGGTTTTTACTGCATACATTACCTTTCTGAACTATTTTGTTCATTCCTATGCTGGCAAAGGCAATTCGGACCTAACTTGTTAAAGTGTATCTTTATCAAAGTCCAAATCAATCTAGTGGTCCATGGATCAGTGGTTCCTTAGCTGCGGTTCATCGACCATTTTTATTGGTGATGGAGGATCACTAATTAGTTTTTTAACATTGAAAGTGAGATCAATGTATTGTTATGATTTTTTAACAAAGAGGGTAACACCACTTTATTGTTTAGATTTTTTAACAAAGAGGGTAACACCACTTTATTGTTTAGATTTTTTTAACAAAGAGGGTAACACCACTTTATTGTTTTAATTTTTTAACAAAGAGGGTAACACAACTTTATTGCTTAGATTTTTTAACAAAGAGGGTAACACCACTTTTTTGTTTTGATTTTTTAACAAAGAGGGTATCACCACTTTATTGTTTAGATTTTTTAACATAGAGGTTAACACCACTTTATTGTTTAGATTTTTTAACATATAGGGTAACACCACTTTATTGTTTTGATTTTTTAACAAAGAGGGTAACACCACTTTATTGTTTAGATTTTTTAACATATAGGGTAACACCACTTTATTGTTTTGATTTTTTAACAAAGAGGGTAACACCGCTTTTTTTTTTTTTTTTTTTTTTTTAAATTAAGAATTTAACTTTTTTTTTTTTTTTTTCTTTTTTAATATGGGGGTTTTTGTTTTTTTTTTTTTTTTTTTTTTTTTTTTTTTTTTTTTTTTTTTTTTTTTTTGCTGGCATCCGTCCGTTACAATGTGACGATGGAGTGGGCTTCGGAGGACGAAATCCACATGGCCTGGGATTATTCTTCAAGGATTTATAAGCTGGTTCCCAACAGCACATTGCCTCTCTCCACGCCGCTGGAAATAGTTCTTTATTCATTATTTAAACACCGTATTCAGTTTGAAGCAATATAGATTCCCAAAACAATTAGTAAATTAAGAGGTTTATTGGGAATTTCAAACTGCTAAAATATTCTCAGTCGGTTGCACTAGTAACGTGACATCCGCTTCGGTAAACTCATGACCTCCTCCTTCAAGTCTGTATGCTCTAGTGCAGGCATGCGAAACTCAAAATACTTCATTAAAAAATTGTGCGGGCCGAAAGATAATAGGACAGGGACGAAAGCTATTAAGAAAATAATAATAATAAATAATGAATATTTCATTACTTCTTCAGCCGACAAGTGGGTGCCGGTAGGCCGCATGCGGTCCGTGGGCCCTATGTGGTGCAGGCCTGTTATAGTGACACCATTTTCTTTTTAACTCTTGCATTCAACTTATATTTATAAAAAGCATGAAAATATGCTGGGCTTATTGTTATAGATATTAAAACTAGTAGACATGACCCGGATTTGCCGTGCTAATAAATGGAAGATATAGGGCGCTACTTTCCACCTGCTCATGGGAAGTCTTAACTCCTCAAACTCCAATGGTTTCGTTTGTACGCCAAACAAGTTTGATGTTCTGCATCCTCAAATGAGAAAATACGAACATTTTCTACGCCCTTGGGGATGTGGAGTTAGATTAATCATTTCGTTATTTTTTTAAAGAAGTATTTACAGAGGATTATGTTTTTAGCATCGTTGGGTTTTGAGATATTTTCCTTCTCTAAAGTTATGCACCACTCAATCCCTTTTCACGCCCATGTACAACAAAGAAAAATTCATTGTCCAATTTTTTTTTTAAAGTGTCCTAAACTTAAAAAATAATATGTGTAACATTTTAAATATCTGTTAACATACCGATTTAATGTATTGGTTACTTGCAATGTGAATAAATATTCATATAAAGATTTTTATTTGAAGGGAAAGTCCGATTTACCATTTCCTTATCATAAATTTCACTTTTCTCCTCAACATTTTCTTATGGGATTATATATTTGAGGAAGCTCAAAGGCACGAGACAGAACACAGACGCTTTAAGATGTTTCTGAATCGTTATATCATAAACAATCTTCCAGATTTGAGTTGCCTATGCAGCCAATTCTAGAAGCTAAATGAAGGACAGTGGTCAAGTTTTTTTCCTTATAGTTGACAATCATGGACAATATCAACTCTCCAGATTTTTTTTTCTTAACGCTCTTATTTTTTGCGTAGGAAAGTTTTTTGTGTGAAATTGGATGCCGTCTTTTAATCTGGGTGGTTATGACCTGCATCTTCTCAAAATAAAAGCAAATAGGTCCTTTCAACCTGGATATTTACCAAGAGTACTAGACAAATACGACGCGATCGGTGAACAAATCGTGGAGACGCAATCACAGCTTGTCTTAAGTTAACGACAGGGATTTGATGTTCAGCCTTGTGTAATATATATTTATTTTTTTTAATTTTATTTTATTTTTTTTTAAGTTTTGAGACAACAAAACGCTGAAAAGTCTGCTTAAATTAATTTAAACTCTACATTTCACATATATTTTTTTATTTTTTACAGATTTTATTTTCATCAAACAAGCACAAGTCCAGTATATTGACAATTTACGAACATTGGAATGTCTGAAGTGGTCTCAAGGCCAACATATAAACAAAGACTGGTGGAGTGCATTCGGGGGGTATTCTGTGAACGGACTTACACACCTCAGTTTTTCAATGTCCTTCGTCACGAATGGCCTGAGATGCTTTCAGAGGAGGATGTCGTAAGAATAATAATTTTCAACATATGTATGTCGTTGTTTTTGAGATCACTTCGCACCATTTGGGATTTTAAGATATCAAACACTTTCAACATAAAATATTGACCCTTAAATATTGAAAAATTCATTCTTTAAAGATTTTTGCTCAATTTCTTTTACTATTACCGGTATTTTTGTTGTATATTTAATTTTAATCACAAACTACAACGATTTCTAAAAAAATAAAATAAGGTATTGTTTTTGTGATGTTCTTTTCTTAATGATTCTTATTGTTGTATGTTTCGTTTTTTTGTTACTAGGGTTTTAGAAAAGATATGTTGAGATAAGTCCAAAAATAAATTATACTTTGCTATCTAATTTTATGAATAGTTTTCATATTACAAAAGTAATTAATTACTTTCTTTTTATCGGAAAGAAAATTTACAAATAGTATTTAAAATGTAGTTAGTCGTTTAGTTAAAGAAATGTTCTTTAAGAATGAAATTAAAAAAGCTACAAATGTGAATTGTGTAGAATAGTCAAATGGCATCTTGCTCATTTGGCAAGCTTGTTTATATTAGATGGTGTTAAGACTGAATAGATTTTTATTTTCATTTCCATTTAAAACTAAAAAGAGAAACCTTACCCAGAGGGTTCACCCCCCAAACCTGGGAAGCCGTGAAATACTGGATATCTTGATAGTCCATGATAACTGGTTTGATTGTATTATTGAGATATTATCCCAAGACAGACTGCGTGAATCAGATTTAGCCAGGGAACTTTTAACAATAAAAGGTCAGTTACATCTAGCTCCACATTTCATACAATGAAACTATCGAAAGACGGAAGCTATTAGTGTATGGAACATTTTTACATCTTTTACGTTACAAAATGGGTTGATGAATTAACCTTTCAATATATAGAGTGGACATAGCATAGTATAATTATGACTTTTTCTAATAATTATGGCGATGTTGAATCATATATATATATATACAGAAAGGACTAAACTTTTGGATGAAAAGATGACAATAATATTTTTTTTCAATCAACAGACAATTTAGATGAGAGGATGCGTCACGAAAGAGAGTTAAGTACAAATAAGTATCAAATATATCCCCGATCATTTTACATATTCAAGTATTAAACTGTTGGAAGTGAACATTTCTAAGGTAGACCTTGCCACCACTGCGTTGTATTATGGACTTTGTTATCGAATTTCATTTGTTCCCATTTAAAATGTTGGCCCATCCGTAAAATATTGGACAAATAATGTTGATTCTGGCAGATGTGGAGTTTGGGTATTCACTGATTTCTTTGCGCACCAAATCGTGTGTTTTATTGCGCTCGGTGTGTCTTGTGGGCCAGTTTAGCTAAGGAACGCGTTTGGCGTCATTAGGCTTGTGACGTGTGACGACGTTTCTGATTTGTAGCTGTGACGTCTTAAGTCTGTCTTTGGTATAAGTGCCATTCGTCTTCCAGTTGGTTTGAGAACATTGTGGAAGAAGGGTGTGCTATTTTATTCCGTTTATCTATAGTTATAACAAGCTGCGTTATACATGTCATTGTGTTTGATACACTGTAAAACCTGCTAGAGAGTTGTTATCCGTGTTTGATTCATTGTACAGCCTGATAGAGAGCTGCGTTAAACCTGTTTTTGATGGACTGTACAGCCTGATATAGAATTGCGTTACACGTGTGTTTGATTCATTGCACAGCCTGATAGAGATGCGTTACACATGTATTGGATTCATTATACAGCTTGATAGAGAGCAGCGTAATAAATGTGTTTGATTCACTGTACAACTTTACACACACACACACACATATATATGTATATATATATATATATATATATATATATATATATAAAGCTTTTAATTAGGCGTGTATTTGATTGTGTTCTGTACGCTTATAACAGCCACTATAATTTATAATCTTAAAATGTACGCCTCTCTCGCAGGATCAATCTCTTCCAGCGTCAAGCGTAACTGAAAGCCTGCATGAGATAATAGTCGTGCATGATGACGAAAACCAAGACAATGAACAAGTAGGTGCCTGTGTCAGCATCGCAGTTCTTTAGAAAGACTTTGAGAGCTGCTTCACTGACCGATAATTGGCAATTTCCTAAAAATCGCTATTTAAAAGTAAAATAATTAAACTCAAAGGAAGATTTCGTCTTTCATAGAAAAGAACATCTTCGTATCCTGGATTGTTTCGTTATTTATCAATTATTTATGTTCGGACTTTTCTCAAAATAATTTTCTTTGTTATTTTTCATATTGGACTTTCCACATGGGACTTTGCATAAGGTAGTCATAATGAAACTGGATTAGGGGGTCAGTTAGGTTCCCTAATTAAGTTTCTGGCTGACCTTTCAAATAAGGGTTTTCATTTTTAGGTTCATTGTTTAAAAAATACTTAAGTACGGTAACTATTTTTGAACAAAATGTGGTTTTGTTGTTCATGTTTTTAACTATAGCGTGCTACCGGTTTAAATCTTACTAGAATATTATGTTAGCCTTGAATGGGATTATTTTTAACGATATTATTAAAACGTTAATCTAAGTATTTATGAGTATTAGTAATATTACTTATTTACTTTAAAAAGAAAGTACAGTCTAAAATGTTTTTATATGTGATTTCAATGTTGGACATCACAATTTTACCACTCTCCAGCTAATTTTACAAAGTATTAACCCTTTCAGGCCCAATCCCTTCCAATGCCAAATAGAACTGAAGCGCCTCCGGAGATTCCGGAAGTTCAAAGTGCCCAGGACCAGGAGAATGCATGTCCACGCTGTAGCTCTGTGGTCACACTTGTGCGTGAAGCTGGTGGACCTTACGAGCCTGGGCGGTGTTTGGCCATGTATAGCTCTGTAGAGAACACTGTACTCAATGTGGGCTATTTGAGAACTCAGGAGCCCCAATTCTGTGCCTATGCCAACAATTCAAACAAGTAAGTAAACAAATGAGATTCTCAGAAAAAGAAAATAAGCATGATTACAAAATAAGCATGGCCCCAGTAACAAACACACACAAACACAGATATATATTGATCTAGTTTAACAACAATGTAAATTAGGTCGTAAAAAACGCTAAACAATACCAGTAGCATAATACAATGTAAATTTAGGGCTAGAATTATCAATATTTTACAGATACAAGTAAGGATATTTATACATTGCCTCACTTTGTAAAATCATATTCTGAATTAAACTAAATACGTAAGTCCGTATAAGTTTGAGGTATCCATCATTAACTGATAGAATATTTTCACTTTTTTTTTAGGTCGAATTTTCGTTTGGCTTGTATGGTCTACGAAAAATGGGTAGCTCAGTTTGTTAGAAAACCAAGTCAACTAGAGGTCCCTCAATGCGTTCAAGGTCGTATTGGAACAATGTTTCCTTGTGGAAGGAGAAGGCGACAAAACAGGAGAATGTAAAATAACACCGAAAGTGAGGGGTCAGTTAAGGAGAGTATGAACAACTTCGCCTCATCCGAGACCTGTCATTCCATTGAACCAGACCTAATGGTGTCCCAGAGGTTGACGTCCAATCATCACTTGTCCCTGTCTCAACTAACAAAGTATTTGTAAAGAAAGATCCCTCAAAGATTAAATGGTGTTAAAGATTGATGTGTTTTTGTTCATTGTCTCTGTATTTGTTCCTGTGTGAGACAATGGGGATTTGGGTGTCTTGAGGCTGTTTGTATGACATGTGGGTTTTACTGTCACGTGGTCACCTTTAGATTTAATTCAAATGAAATTGCGTATTAAATTTAAATTCTTTCCATTTTATCTTTTTTATTTTCCTGCACTTAGTTCATTACAAATAGGTATAGAGGATTTTTTTGTTAAATCGGTCTTCCTGTACCATTACACCAAAAATTAACAAAGGAACTAGGATTAAAAAACCACTAAAAACTAAGTTTTTCGTATAAATACGTTATAGGCATTTTGGTTTGCATTTACTTAATTGTACGTGAGTTATCATTTATCGAGAAGCGGTTTACTTACAGGGGTTAACTTATGGCGAAAACTTTGTTCATGTTTCCTTCATTTTGCTCTTCACAAATATATATTATTTTTACTGCATGCCCAAATAAGTCACACACTCAAAACACACAGCAACAGCTACACACTAAATCTCCATACCAAAACACGCAATCGTTGAACCAATCATATTGCGTTCATCTACCCCTTGAATAAACGGAAAAACTGATTTTGGAGTCGGGGGGGGGGGTGAAAGAATGTGTTGTCATCGGCAACGAGCCCATGTGCCAAGTTTCAGCTTGATAGGTTGACGGGAAGTGGTAGGCCCGTTCTTAGTATACGCTGACTACGCATCCGCGTAGGGCCCCAAACGTGAGGGGGCCCCCGTGTGGTGTTTTTTCCTCAGCTCAAGGGAGCTCCACCCCCGGACCTCCCTTCCGGGGCCCCCAACCTACGCCCCATGCTTAGGGCCCCGAACCTCCTAAGAACGGCTCTGGAAGTGGGTTAATTAACCTTACGAGGATTTTGCCAAAAAAACAAGAAAGAAACACACAAACAAAAGCGAATTTAATTTTTAAAAAATAATGGATTTTAAAAATAATGGATTTGTGTGCTATGCCTTCTGAAAATGTTGACGTTGCTCGGGACTTTTCCGATATTCAGTTCAACAAATAAAATTAAATGAAAAAAAACAACAAAAAAAACAACAGCCTCTGAGAAAAAAATGCGTTAACTCATTTTTATGCAGGACATGAAAAATTTGGTAGCCAGCTAGCTGCCTTGTGTTGTATGCTGTAAGATCTGTGGCTACGAGTAATAAAATATAGAGAACATCGTGGCTCACACAAGAAGGCAATAGATACGCAATGTGCAGATAGGCGCCTATACTAAGCTATACACCTACTTTTTTTACGTATCTATGTCAAGTAACCCCTCCCCTTAACTTTACCAGGTCAATTGATGCACGATATTTTAGTTTTTGAAAATACATTCAGGGTCCAAATTCATCAAAGGAAACTTTTTTTTAAATTTATTTTGTCCTTTCAGACAGATCCTAGACACAAAATATCGACATTACGGTGCATCAAAACTTCACCATGCTACAATGCTGTCATCGTAGTCCACAACATTGGATAAACTTAAATATCATGCCATTTCGAAACAATTTTGTTTAAACTTTTATTTTCATAGAACCACTTTTATCAGCTTTGTTGACATTTCCAAGAAACTTCTTCAACGTAGCCAAACACTTTCTGTGATTTAAGTTAATTTTATATTTCCCTTTGTACCTTCAAAATTTTAATTGTCATTTTTTTTCCTGCTAAATTTTTGTCAAACCCGTCGCCATTGTTTAGTTGCGACCTGCTTTAAACTGTCAGCAACTGGCTGCCTCATAATCGCTTGAAAACATTCAATAGCACTATTTAGAACCACTGAATTGTGTGGCACGTCATTCAGCGTTTTATACCGTACGTCTATTTCATCGGCCATTATATCAACGAAGGACTAGGACGCTCGTGATATGAAGTTAAACTGAACCATTGTAAGAGGGAAGTTTTACATTGATTATCGTACTGTTACTTCGAACTTGTAATTGAATAAAGTCACTAATCAAATCACCCTAGAGCAGGAAATGTAGGCCGCTGTTCATCTTCTGGTAAAGATTTTTGTAAAGATATTTATTTTATCTCATAAATACAGTTGGGTTCTTTTATCTATCAATTTTTTCCTCATAGATATGTACATTTATTGATATATCCAGTCAAAGGTAGACGATTAGCAGTAAATTATTTATTTATATCAAATTATTTCTGTTATCTCTTTTATTCATTTATTAAAACATAATTATTGAAATTTAAAACACGCTTGAATCCCTCTTCAGTTTCTTTCCACTCTGACTTTCAAGATGTCCTCTTCCTGCACTGGGCACTGCAACTGCAATGTATTCAGTCGCCTCTGCTTACACCAAGAAGATGATTGAATAAATAATTCATTATCATCGTTGTTGGGTTTTCTTTGCACATAATGAAGTCTAAAACTGAAGAGTTGGTCCCCGAAAATACAGACGAACATAATCAGCCTTAAACACAAATCGTAAGGGATGAAATACAAACTTTTCTTTTTTTAAACTAAAAGACAAAATAACTATTAAAATGCATGTATAAATAAATTCGTAGGTCTCAATCTAGAGCTTTGAAGACACTAATAAATTATTAATTTATTAAGAAATTAATTTTACGTTTCTCTTACGTTCTCTGAGACAAAATATTTCTGAAACAAAGCCACAAATTTAGATGTAGCAACTTGAGACTTAGAAATATATAGTCTGCAATAAAGACATGTGAATATGTCATGAGTGAGTAAACAACCTTTGACCCCAGTATTTCATTACCTTTTGGGATTATGTTTCAGAAAAAAAAAACTTTTGAGACCTAGCACAAATGTTAATTTCTTAGTCGCAGCACTGAAAGTCTCATCTTTGTATTTCTTAGTCACAGCACTGGAAGTCTCATCTTTGTATTTCTTAGTCGAAGCACTGAAAGTCTCATCTTTGTATTTCTTAGTCACAGCCCTGGAAGTCTCATCTTTGTATTTCTTAGTCTCAGCACTGGAAGTCTCATCTTGTATTTCTTAGTCACAGCACTTTTATTTCTTCAACAATAAGAAAGTTTTTTTATTAAACGGTGAACATTAATAATTGTTCAATTTCAATCCTTGTCAGGTCCTAATTTTCTTTAAACCACTTTATTGATAAAAGGTTAACAATAATATTTTTAAAGAAAAAAAAAATAAATCCATTGGAAATGTAATTGAAATTAGCATTTTCCTTGAACAAAGTGATTCCCAGCGTCGTTAAAGGCAATTTTTACTNCGAAGTCAAGCAACGTCGGGCTTGGTTAGTACTTAGATTGGTGACCGCTTGGGAACACCACGTGTTGTAGATATCTTTTTGTAATTTTTTTTTTTTTTTTTTTTTTTTTTTTAAAAATTATTTTTTTTTTTTTTTTTTTTTTTTTTTTTTTTTGTAACATAGAGACTAACACTACTTTATTGGTTTGACTTTCTAGCATAGAGGGTATGTTGTTTTTATTTTTTTAAAGCCTTTTTAAACAGTTTATTAAAGCTAATTGAGCTTCTTAAAGTTTTTTTTTTTTAATTTACATTATTTTTTTTTATTACCACTAAGATAAAATGTAAACAAATCAATCTTTACCTTTCGATTATTTTATGTTTGAATCTCAAGTAATTGCACATGGCCAGTTTCTTCATTGGTCAAAGTTTAAATATTTCAATCTGCCATCAAGAGATACGGCGTGTGAATGTGCTCAGCTACTCAAATGTTATCTTGGAATGTAGTCTTCTCATGTTTAAAATTTGTGAACCACTGTCCTCGATGATTAAATCTCGTCAAAGTGTCAAGGGTCTGACTTCTTCCAACAGAACAGACGCTGATCAGAAGGTGACGGAGCTCATTTTGGCACATAGGTATTTAGAAATATTCATTTTTTTTTTTTTAAGCTACTAATTTTTTTTTTTAAATGTGTCCTCAAATACCACTGATCATCTTATTAATGTTTAATTTATAATGTTTTAGGAACACATTGTAAAAAATAAATGTAGATGTGTATTACTTATACAAATTCTTCTCCAAATCACCAAGAATATTAATTATATTAAACGTAACGATTGTATTCTCATAAAACTTTATGAAGAGTTTTTTCATATAGAAATAAATACATTTCATTCCGACGGTCTGATTTGTGCTACAGATGTCTAAAGGTAAAAAGCCTCGTCTTCGTTTGATTTTTAAAAAAAAAGTCATCTTAAAGTGATTCACTAATCGAGTGACGAAGTTGAATTGAAGATACTGAGCGTATCTAGCAATAGGGATGGGGCTGAAACTTTGACAAAACATGCATACAAGTGACGTATTTTAAAAGAATCCCAATTAGTGCTCCTCCCCCCCTTTCCAAGTCTCGTAGCCGCACATTTCACGCCACTGCACTATATTAATATTCTAATGACCCAACTACTTTTACACCGCACATTTATTTCGCCAACTATTTCAGAAAAACAGAAGGACATAGTACGCACCAAACGCACTTGTGATATTTTTTTTAAAGAATCTCATTTAGTTTAGTGAAATCAGTGTTATCTTCCACTTGAGAAAAAGGGAAATCCGATTTGGGGGGATATGGGTTGGGGAGAAGTAGCAAAAATAAAAAAGGGGCAGGCTACGCTGGACGGGATAGTTGACAAGTGACAGATGAGTGAAAGTGGTACATCCCCAAAACTCTAGAGGAAAACGACTAAAAGGCTGAAATAGGCTTAGATGGATAAACGATGGACAGCAGTTCGGATTCCAAGAATTGAAAATAAAATCATTAGTAAGGTCTGAGTGGAAGGAAGTGATGAGGCAGGCCTAAGCCCTACAGGGGCTGTAGCGCCACAAGGGGTGGATTGATAGATGGAATCGGTTGTGGAGTGGGGCTGAAAATTTGTAAGAATGGTGTTGTCATTTGCATCGAGTCTATTGCCCAAGTTTCAACTCGAAAGGTTGACGAGAAGTGGGTCAATTAGCCGTCCGAAGATTTTGCCAGACAGCTACGAACAAAGGCGAAGTTAATGTAAAGGTTTTCAAAATAACTTCTAAATGCCTATAGGGGGAACATATTAAATTTAAACAAGTTTTTTTTTCCTTTTTCAATATCAGAATATTAGGAGTCAACGCTACCTATTTGTAGGCATGCATTTAAATATAAAATACAAGGTATTAACTTGGTGCAGTTTTTTTTATACCGGGTCCGGGTATTTTGAGAAAATACCCAGTGGGTCCGAATGTTATAAAAAAGTGATCTTCTCATGTTCTATAATATGCTACGAAATCTACTGCCCTGTGACGTAGTGAGAATAATTTGCCTTCGTCAACGTTTTGTGTCAAGAAATAACCTACTGATAAGAACAACCAGTTGCCGGATCACGGAATAGAGATTACGTCGTACGCGTGGAGCTGCTGTGTGACAGAGTCGCTGTGTGACAGAGTCACTGTCAGGCGGAGTCGCTGTGTGACAAAGTCACTGTCAGACGGAGTCGCTGTGTGACAAAGTCACTGTCAGACGGAGTCGCGGTGTGACAAAGTCACTGTCAGACGGAGTCGCAGTGTGACAAAGTCACTGTCAGACGGAGTCGCTGTGTGACAGAGTCACTGCCAGATGGAATCGCTGTGTGACAAAGTCACTGTCAGACGGAGTCGCTGTGTGACAGATTCACTGTCAGACGGAGTCGCTGTGTGACAGAGTCACTGTCAGACGGAGTCGCTGTGTGACAAAGTCACTGTCAGTAGGAGTCGCTGTGTGACAGAGTCACTGCCAGATGGAGTCGCTGTGTGACAAAGTCACTGTCAGACGGAGTCGCTGTGTGACAAAGTCACTGTCAGTAGGAGTCGCTGTGTGACAGAGTCACTGCCAGACGGAGTCGCTGTGTGACAAAGTCACTGTCAGACGGAGTCGCTGTGTGACAAAGTCACTGTCAGACGGAGTCGCTGTGTGAGGAACACGAACAATAACAATACGGAATAATATATGTCTCCCTCTGAAGAAAACAAAAAAACCTCCGTGTGTTTCAGATGTCACACCATGAAGCTCGTGGCGTGGCAAACCTTTTTCTCCCTCAGTACTGTTAATATAAAACATGTGGAGTTTCGGGGGGGGGGAGCTGTTTTGACGAGGAATCAGGACGAACCAGAAGCAAAATATATATATAAAAAAAGATTTCTAGGTTAGTATTAAACAGAAAGTTTTTCGATTTTCTAGCCATGCATTTTATTTTTTTTTAATTTTTTTTTTTAAATTTGTTCATTTATAAAAGAGTACTTATTGTAATCTGTTCCAGTGAACAGTAATTTAAAATTGTATTTTTACGTTAAAAAATCTTTTATTCAATTAATTGTAAGAAAAAATTGACTTTCTTTGCGAGTTTAATTTTTTTTTTTAAATGGTGTATTTTTGTATTAGGCGGATTTTACGGTGATTTCCCATTTCAATTTCATACATTTAAAACATATTACAAGCATTAAATAACAAATGAATTTTTTAAAGTATTTCTTATAAATTAAGTTGGTATCCTTTAACACGATTTAAAAATGATATCTTGCTTTTGCAGCTCACTAAGCCCTCACTTAAACAAGATTCGTCTAATAGAAACTATGGGTAACAGTCCTTCAAATATCGCTGTCCTATTGATTGGTAACACTGGAAATGGTAAAAGTTCAACTGGAAATTCTGTTTTGGGAAAACCAGGTTTCTTCGCGCCATTTCACACAACACAAGCCTGCACAAAAACTGTAAAGAAATATGAAACTGAAACTTGGGACAAAAAGATAACTATCGTTGATACACCTGGACTAACAGACCCAGAGCTGGATGACATTGAGAATGCCGGGTTTGCAAGAAATAACATGACAAAATCATTTAGACTTTGCACTGATGGTTTTAATGCATTTCTAATTGTAATGAATTATACCAACAGGTATAGTGACGAGGAGAGACAAGTTATCGAAACGTTGACAGAAATATTTGGTAACGAAATGTTCGCCTCCTCCATCTTAATTTTTACACACGGCGACAACTTTGATACGGACCAAAAAATTTCCAAACCTGAAGACAGTCAAAAAGAATTTGCTGCATGGTGTCTTAAAGTCAATGGAGATCTACAAATATTGCTCAAGAGATGTAACTATAGGGCCGTGCTCTTTCATAATAATGAAGCGTATGAGAAAAATAGAGATATTGATAGGTTGAAGTTGTTCGAAAAGTTGGAAGAGTTAAAACGCAATAAATATTCACTTAATCAATTCAACAAAAATGAGGACCGAAGAAAGAAACTAATTTTAAATAAATATCCTCAGCAGCTGAAAGATAAAATAGCCAAAGAACTGGATGAACTGAAAGACGACTTAAGACTTATCACGCACCAAAAAGATACATTAAACACAAGGACTAAACAAGTGTTGGAAACAGTAAGAAAAAACAAGTTTCCTGAAAAAACTTCATTGGAAAATGCCTTAAGAAATTTACTTGACAATTTTAAAAGCAAAGAAAATAATCGAGAAAAGTTTGATTTTCTTCGCAAATTTCTGGAGGACATGAACAGCACCATTCTCCAAGAACTAGGGACTCTGATTACTGACATTAATAAAATATTAAATCCAGAAAAGCACAAAAATGAATTGAAAAGATCAGCTTCTCTATTGTTAGAGTACATTAAAGAACAAGGTCATGGAACAAAACAGTTACATCTGGAGGAACAAAGGGTAAAAATGTTTCAAGCAGAAGTCGAAGAATTGGACATTAAGTTCGTTGACATTGTTACAGAAATCAGATGATCTCCTAATTCATTCCAGATATTACGTGTTGAACCTAAAATGCAACGTCTATCAGCTTGTGTGTACTTTTATTGTGTATTGCTCCATTCAATTATTTTTACACAACATGTTCAGAAATACAATTGTAAACAGTATTTAGTTACCATGGTGATCCATATTATGGTTTTAATGGTATTTCGATACGTTGTCTTTTCTAAAATCAAGAATGTACTTGGTGTTTTGATGACACCTTGTGCAGGCAAACATATTTTTTTCTGTTATAGATGTGTTTTAAAGAATTAATGCAATGACATGGGTGTAACAAAAAGCTTTTTCTAAAAAATCAAGTTTAGCTGATGCTGCATTGTATAATTTTCTAATGAAGATCTTCTATTAAGACAGTTCTGCTAAACGTGCAAATACTTAATTCCATTAACTAAAAGACCGTGCAGCTTTCAAACAGAAATAAAAAAACTATAACAATGTTACGCAGTTGTGTTGCTATTTTTTTTCATTCAAGTTAAACAAGGCACGATTTTGATTGTCTGATCACCTAGATTTAATTGTCTGGTCACCTAGTTTTGATTGTCTGATCACATAGTTTTGATTGATCACATTGTTTTTATTGTCTGATCATCGAGTTTTATTGTCTGATCATCGAGTTTTATTATCTGATCACCTAGTTTTTATTGTCTTATCACCTAGTTTTGATTGTCTGATCACCTAGTTTTGATTGTCTGATCACCTAGTTTTGATTGTCTGACCACCTAGTTTTGATTGTCTGATCACCTAGTTTGGATTGTCTGATCACCTATTTTTTATTGTCTGACCACCTAGTTTTGATTGTCTGACCACCTAGTTTTGATTGTCTGATCACCTAGTTTTGATTGTCTGACCACCTAGTTTTTATTGTCTGACCACCTAGCTTTGATTGTCTGATCACCTAGTTTTGATTTTCTAGTCACCTAGTTTTGATTTTATGATCACATAGTTTTGATTGTCTGATCACCTAGTTTTGATTGACCACCTAGTTTTGATTGTCTGATCACCTTGTTTTGATTGTCTGATCACCTAGTTTTGATTGTCTGATCACATAGTTTTAATTGTATAGTCACCTAGTTTTTAGTGTTTGATCACCTAGTTTTGATTGTCTGACCACCTAGTTTTGAGTGTTTCACCCCCTAGTTTTGATTGTCGGACCACCTAGTTTTGATTGTCTGATCACCTAGTTTTGATTGTTAGTTATTTAACGTATTATTTTTCTTTTGTATGAAACTCTGCTTTCTGAATATCATTTAAATTTTAACTATATTTCAAACGATTTTTGCCATTATAAAAGAGATTCATCAAAAATACTATCATTAATGTTCCTTTGTGTGTCACTTTCTTACATTAATTATTGATAGCTTGCTAAAAATGGCGGCTGGGTTGCAAGGAACCTTCCATCTACTAAAGTTTCCTGATAAACCAAGCATTCAATCAAGTAGTGCACTTTATAGGAATCCCAATTTATGACCCCCACCCCACGTTCACAACATCACACTTTTGCCACGCCCCTGAAATAGATTAGTATTCAAATGTCCCACCCCCTTATATACCGCAAATATTTTAACCACCATAACATCTTATATCAATTGAGACTTCTTCCGTGAAACAAAAAGATCTGACCCACTGCTCACACTTGCTGTATATTTAAGAATCTGATTTATCGCAGTTATTTGGGAATTTTAGTTCACGCACTATTGAACTAAGCATTACGTCTTACATTCAAACTTATAATACAATTATATTTAATAGTTATCCCCTTTTTAATTTTGCTTTTATACTAATGATACAATTGTTGTATCTAAAATTGTGTTGTATCATGTTAAATAACATTTAATACTAAATTACGATAATAATTTTCAGTTTACTCCGTCTAACGTTATGAGCCCATTGCTATTGAGGAAAAAAAATTAAAAAAACGGATTTCATTATTAAGAGTGAAAATAACTTTGAATTTATATGAATGTTTCTCAACATTCACCAATTCACGTCACATTATTCAGAAGCAGATGGCGTTTAATTGATATCCAATTCAGGAAGCTTAAGTTAAATGTGTACAATACATTTTTTTAAATTAGTTTTGCAAAATGTGTTTCATTACATTATTGTTGTTGGATTCGTTTTGCAAAATGTGTGTCATTACATTATTGTTGTTGGATTCGTTTTGCAAAATGTGTCTCATTACATTATTGTTATTGGATTCATTTTGCAAAATGTGTTTCATTACATGATTGTTGTTGGATTCGTACATTGCGGCTGAGAGTTTTCGCTGTAATGTACGTACCATTTGCTTATATTTACAATAAAATAAATGAGAGAATAGATTGTTGGAATAAAATGAATTGTTTCCAAGCTTGCAAATGAATATGGTGACTTGTTTTTCCAATTTTGCCGTTATCGCATTGGGTTTAGGTTGATCTAGGATCACACCTAATGATGTTGTACATATCTATCCCCTGGCCAAATGATGTTTTACATCTTTATTTCATGGCCTAATGATGTTTCACATCTTTACCACCTGGCCTAGTGAAGTTTCACATCTTTACCACCTGGCCTAGTGATGTTTTACATCTTTACCACCTGGCCTAATGATGTTTTACATCTTTATCACCTGGCCTAATGATGTTTCACATCTTTATCACATGGCCTAATGATGTTTCACATCTTTACCACCTGGCCTAATGATGTTTTACATCTTTATCACCTGGCCTAATGATGTTTTACATCTTTATCACATGGCCTAATGATGTTTCACATCTTTACCACCTGGCCTAATGATGTTTTACATCTTTATCACCTGGCCTAATGATGTTTTACAACTTTATCACCTGGCCTAATGATGTTTCACATCTTTACCACCTGGCCTAATGATGTTTTACAACTTTATCACCTGGCCTAATGATGTTTCACATCTTTACCACCTGGCCTAATGATGTTTTACATCTTTATCACCTGGCCTAATGATGTTTTACAACTTTATCACCTTGCCTAATGATGGATTTCGATCATTTCAAGACTGTTGTGAAACAGAGCTTTTATCCATGGATTCTGTGACATACCGTTGTATGGTTTTGTAAATTTAATATGTTTTAAGATGTGGCTCGTTTGATGAACAAAACGAAGCAAATTGCTGAAAACTAGTTTACAAAGAAACAAGATACCACAGCTAGTCATGTTAATAGTATTCAAGTAAATAAAATTATTAAATTTATTTTTTAAAATACAAAATCAAATGTACATACATAAAAACTAAATTTACTTAAACCCCAGCAAATGAAATAATATAATCCTATAAAGATGCAACTATTACAAGACACACACACATATACAAAGAGCAACATTTTTAAGGCTCTTATTGATATATTAAGTCTCGTAAGTTGCATGTCCCGGGCAATGTTCCCTCTAAGGTTTGTTGGTTCGTGTGCAAAATCATAAAGTTGTGCGCAAATTTTTACAGCATCAATTTTCGTGTGCGCAAAATTTTCAGCCTACAGACACTTAACTGGAAATTAGCTGCGCGGTACTCAAAACTGCTGCGCGGCGTCAGTGACATTGCTGCGTGGCCGCGCAGCTTAAAGTGAACATTGGTCCCGTGTAACTTTCAAAAATCTCTTCTGACTAGGAAAGTTGCCAGCTTATTTATAGATAGGGGGTGGGAAAAGCCGTTCTAGAAAGTACATCACCCGATAGCATTCTTTGGAACAATTCAGAACATAAAAAAACATTTTCTCCATCAAGGGAGGGGTGTGCAACTGTACAACGCTACACATTTAATCGGTGACGTCAATTTCAACATTTGAAAAGGAGTTTAAAATGGTCTTCATCTCCATGTTGAAGTAAAATTGGGTCAACGCAACGGGCTAAAACAATTCAAATATTTAATTTCCAGCAATGATGATACTAACTTTATTTTTTTTTAAATAAATATCAATCAATGTGCACTGCCACACAATGATGATATGCATCAAACGTAGAAAAAAAAACTTAATGAAATGGGTAACAGGAATGCCACACACAATCCAACCATACTTATCATGGTATAACTGAAGAGATACCATTTTTTTTAATGATGCAAACATACTCATACAAACTAACGGACACCAACACATGACAATATAAGCATACAAACTAACGGAGACCAACACGTGACAATATAAGCATACAAACTAACGGAGACCAACACGTGACAATATAAGCATACAACCTAACGGAGACCAACACATGACAACATAATTCAATGAATGGTTTTGTTACAGGATGAAATTTCCTAATTTATATAATGCAACACCACATGTTTTATTTATTTTATTTTTTAATACTATTTCATAAATCTTGAACTTATTTTTTTCTCAGGATATGAACAATTCCAATACATAATTTCAATGTGTGTTACTTTTACTGCTATTCTCGTTTAAAATAACGAAAAACGCAAAATGGGAAAACTAGGGGAAAGGAACAAAACGAAAAATAAGTAGGCCATAATTCTTTCCTAAACGAAAGGAAAAAAAGGCAACAATTTAAAAAATTAATTCAAAAATAAAAATAGCAAAAGGACGGTTGGAATACAAAGTTTGGGTGTCACTGGTTTAAAATATTTACAAACCGGTTGAGGTCCATGAGGTGACAATATTGTCAATGAAAAGGGGGGTCGTTACCTTTAAAAACTTATTATTTAATTCGTTTGAAAAGAGCCAATGATTTAACCTTTTCAATTTTTTTAATTAAACCCCCCCCCCAAAAAAAAAAAAAAAAAAAAAACGGGCCGGAAAAGAAAGGGAAATATCACATGCCAAAGTTATCATTTAAAGAAAGTCATTCAGACTATTTAAAGAAATATTCAAGATAACTTTTAAATTTCTCAAAATCGGTTGAAAATTCCATAAATTTAAATGTTGTTTTTTTTTTTCAATTACTCAAATTTGAGCCCTAGCAACAAAAGAAATTGACACATATTTGTTACTTATAACAGAAAGTGACATATCCTATGTTACTTTTAGGATAATGGAGAACAAAAACACACACCAATATTTTATTCACGATAAAGTATACGACAGGTCAATCAGTTCACACTGAAGCCTACGCTATAGCCGTATCTTATTGCTCATATGTATAACAATTTAAAAGGCTAAATATATAATGGTTTGTTTGTAACTTATGGACTGAACATCTACTGGACACCCTTGATTACAAGGTAGCATTAGAACTACAATGATAAAAGTTACTACTGATACATTTATTCAACCATCATTTATCGATTGTCTCTATCTGACCTCTAATCATGATTGTGAGGGATGTAAAAAATTAACACTTTTAATTAGGACTAGTATATTAGCACTATGTTAGTACACTGGTTCTTTCAATGATCATTTATCACCAGGCGACACTATACTATTATGTATATGAGTTAAAGGGTTCTTATCTAAACATTTCAGAGTCGCTGTACATTACTAAAAACTTATATAAATATGGTGTATCTGTCTAGGAGGGTTTAGCGTAAATGTAAATATCAGTGGGGGTGTCTAAGGCAGAGTTTCCAGCGGCGTTTGGCGATTAAAGATTTTTTTGATGGGTTGGGATTATTCGTCTCTGAGACAAAAACTTCACTGTTGTTTTCTGTTTACGTTTCGAGGTCTATCACTGACTCAATTAAATGAAGACATTTTACACAAAAAATGTCCACAATTCAAGTAATCATTTAATTAAAGGACAACCCCCAAAACCCCGTAAGGAAGCACGGGTATGTTTGCTAGTATTTAATCATTTCAAAAGCCAAGTCGTATAATAGGCGTTTCGGAGTATTGGCTTTCTCAACATCGACCCTCTATTGTGTAGCTAACATCCACTTCATAAAACAATGGTTTTAAGCAACCCAACTGTTGTTGTTTTTTTCGTTGGTTTTTTTTACATTACATTGTTAAATTTTTATGTCAAGACAATGACTATCGCCAATTTACATAAGTGCGCCCTGAAATAATGCAATGTTTACATATTTTTTCGTGTTTGTTCTACGCCTTTAAAAGATCTACAAATTTAATTGATGTTTACGGTTTACATACTGGACACTTCACCAAAATCCAGGACATCAGCTGACCGGGTAAAGGTCTAAAGGAGGTGTTACTTGACTAAGATATGTAAAAGAAGTAGGTCTTGACAACATAACTGCACTCGCATATATATCACGGTTATCTATTTTGTGCTTGCATGAGACGATAGCGACTTGTCATTCCAGCATGCAAACAAAACACGTAGCTATCAACCTTGTCAAATATATCGAATAACTTCGTGTTGACAAAAGTTTTCATTTTTAGAAGTATTTCAGAGGCCAGCGTAACGTTGTTTTAAATATTAAAAACTGTGTTTCAAAAGACAAAGCACAGGTCAAAAGGTTGCTCTGTGACAGTGATTGAGCGGGCGTCTAGCCGTCTACCTCTAGTAGCAATTAAAAATAATCATTTTAAAAAATAGTTTCTTTGTTTTCCGAAAATTGCATCCATTTAAATATGGTTTTATAAATATGGTGTTATGAATATGATGTTTTAAATATGTTGATATAAATATGCGTTATAAAAAGGGTGTGACATTATATATTAATATAGTTCAGAGGCGAAAAAATGTGTGGTTGTGAACCTGTGAGGATGTGGGGGGGGGGGGGGGGGGGGGGGGGTCATTGAGTGCATGTTTTGTCAAATAACTTAAGGAGATGGGAAGTTAAGCATTGTCTGGCGGACCTTAAATAATTTTCTGATCATTTCTTAGAATACATCCGGTTTGATAGTCTGGTGAAGACTTCCTGGAAAAGGCCAATAAAATTGTGGACGTTTTTCGTTCCAGATTTTATCATGAGACCTTTAGATGATTAGTACTCAATCTTGCCAACAAATATGACATTGTCGTTCATGTAGAACTGCCGGTCGAACGAAATTCATCCTTACTTACCATCCTCACAATGGGAGTGTACAAAATTAGATTTGAAAAATCGTCATAAGCTCGTGGCTGACCCCGACACAAACAAAGTACTGCTATCATCAGCTTTTCTCACTGTCTTATCGAACTTATCTTAATCGTATTATTCAGCTAAGTTACTTGTTCAAATGTGTACACATTAGCACATCTGGACCTTGAACCCTTATTAAATGACACATCCCAACTTCTTCATCACGGATATCTAAGATCAGCTCAACCGTTGTGAACTCTTTCTCTTAAAATTAGGACCGAAGATGTAAAAGTATTTTGTTCCCCAATCTGCACGAATTTACTAGCGCTCCTCCCCCCCCCCCTTTTTTCCGTGCTAACCAAATCAAAATGATCACTAAATTTGTCATTATTTTTACTACGGGAGTTCATTAACGGATGATTTCTACGCTAGACAAATACTTTAGATGGTTTGTGTTTAATGTGTTATAATTGTAAAATGTTGTCTTTGTTAATCATGTATATTCATTTATGTGCTGAAAATGAATATGTACAATAAAATTGTAATTTTAAAAAAAACATTTCCATTTATTAGGTGAAAGAAAGAAATGTTACCATGTTTGTCACTGTAGCACAGCACAACAAAGGCAAATACCAGAGAGAAAAAATATGTACGCAGCACATACATTTTAAACACCAGCGTTAAAAACGCTTCTCTAAACCATACATTGAGACGAACCAAATTCTCTTATATATATTTCTCTTCTGGTGTGGCTGCTTCCTTTTGACAACCGGCCCTCCCCGTACTCAATATGTTTTTATATTAATAGTTCTGAATGGGGAGAAAAAAGCTGTCCAACAGGGAGGGTTGAATTTTTCGGAGATGACTATTGTTCTAATCAATAAGGAGTCAAGCGTATGATATAGAATTGTCTGTAGGACTATTGTTTAATGGCGGCAGTTAGACTGTAGGACTGTCTGTATGACTATTCTTTAAAGACCGGCAGGTAGAGTGTAGGACTGTATTTTGGACTATTGTTTAAAGACCAGCAGGTAGGCTGTAAGACTATTGGTTAAAGATCGGTAGGTAGGCTGTAGGACTGTCTGTAGGACTATTATTTAAAGACCGACAGGTAGGGTGTAGGCCTATTGTTTATGCTCAAAATACCCGGACCCAAGACTGAGACGGCTGTAGTGCCACTGATGATCATGATGATGTCCGAGTGGAAGGATGTGGTGGAGCAGGCCAGGGTCCTACATGGGCTGTAGTGCCACTGATGATGATGATGATGTCCGAATGGAAGGATGTGGTGGAGAAGGCCAGGGCCCTACATGGGCTGTAGTGCCACTGATGATGATGATGATGATGATGATGTCCGAATGGAAGGATGTGGTGGAGAAGGCCAGGGCCCTACATGGGCTGTAGTGCCACTGATGATGATGATGTCCGAGTGGAAGGATGTGGTGGAGAAGGCCAGGGCCCTACATGGGCTGTAGTGCCACTGATGATGATGATGTCCGAGTGGAAGGATGTGGTGGAGAAGGCCAGGGCCCTACATGGGCTGTAGGGCTACTGATGATGATGATGATGAATACACTTGTAGGGAGGGCGCCGAATCTTAGGTAGATTAAAGGACTGCCCAAAAGCTGGAATTTTAGGTTTATTATAACTGCTAAAATGAATAATTACATGTAAAATTAGGCCCATTTCTTCATCGGTCAAAACTAAACATCAAATCTGTTTCATTAAAATATTCAAAGTCGGAAGTTGATTTGTAACTCAAATGTGATCTTTTAAAAATGTCGTCATAATTTACAATTTTTGGAACCACCGCTCTAGATAAATAAAATTCGTCGAAATCTCAAGGATTAGATAACTCGAAAAAATAGAACATTAGCAGAAGCTGATCAGACGCTGTATGTAAGAGCTGATTTCATGACAGGTGTATTTAAAATTATGTATGTATTATTTTAGTTTCTTACATTTTTTAATGTTAAAATCAGTGTTTCTTTTATAACCGGTTCTCGTTTTGATTTTATTTTTGGTCTCAATTTTTTAGTCACGCTCTTTTTTAATAAATTGTATGTGTATGTTTTTGCTTCCTTTTCTTTTTGGTTTTTTTTCTTTTTTTTTTTTTGTTAAATTTTTCAAATATATTAATTCAAATCAATAAATAAAATGAATAGTTTAAAGTCTGAAGGTTCGTAATCATATTTAAAATACAACCGGATACTTAATAGATGAATGAAGGTGCATTACTGATACTAGGAATTCGTCTCATTTTCCGTTGTCACTCTGTTAATGGTGGATATTAAAATGGTGTCGCCATGTCTAAATTATATTAAATTTTCGATAGTGGCGCTAGAAGCGTTCCGTTCTATGTGTATATTTAAATTTGTGTGTGTGTATGTGTGTGTGTGTGTTTGTGTGTGTTTGTGTGTGCGTATGTGTGTGAGAGAGAGAGAGAGCTTTCTTAGTTGACAATATAAACAAGGGCTCTTTGCTAACCTTGAATTACCTATAGAGAGAAAAAAATATATTTATATATACTCTCAAAGTTCAGGACTATGATTACTTAGTCTTATAGACATTGAAGCGTTAGCTCGAACCGTGTTAACAAAAACATTTCAGATGGGTCCTATCCAATAACACGAGTTTAAGAGCTTATCCCATTAAATTATGTTCATAAAGCCAAAGCAACAGCACATTGAGCTATGAAAATCAATGGGGGTTCAGGGGTAATTTTGTAAATAATATTTCAGACAAAATTAATATTTTTTTCGAGGCCTAGTCGATGGGTGGAAGGGCTGGACACCAAAGGATGGTGTTGGGGAGTGTGTGTGTGTGTGTGTGTGTGTGTAGCCGGGGGGGTTGCGTTTGGTGCGTAATACTATCTTTTGTTTTAAGGAAATAGTTGGAGTAATTTCTTATATATATTATGCTTCTGGTGTGGCTGCTTTTGAGTTCCATGTATTTCGCTGGGCACTGAATGCTCCTCTGGCTTTTGGACTCTAGACTTTATGTCCTCATCTGTGCCACCATTGTTATTTATGATGCTTACAAGGCATGTAAAAGTTTCAAGTTCTTAAAAAGATGCCCCTGTCAAGTTAATCCCATTGACGCCCATCCACTGCATTTACTCTTAAAGTCTTGGTTTATTCTTATTTATGCTAAGTCCCACTTGCTGGGATACAGAGTCAAGTTTTGTTGTTTTCTCCTGCATTTGTTTATAACTATGTAATAAAAGTGCAATGTCATCTGCAAATTCCAAATCCTCCAACATTCTGAAAGGTATCTACTTAATTCCATTTTCCCAATCCTGTGTTGTTTCTCACATGATCCAGTCAATGGATAATAGTAAGAGGAATGATGAAAGGCAGGCATCCCTTTCAAACTGAAGATTCTATCATAATGGCTTTGTGATTTCCCCTTCATGTATAACCCTACAATTCACATATTTTTATGTGTTCTTAATTAAATTAGTTAGCTTTTTGGATAATACCATAATGTCCTAGGAATTTTCACAGTGCATATCTGTTTAAGCTGTCAAATTTTTTTTTGAAGTCGACAAAATTTAGGTATAATGATGCACCCCACTCAAAGCACTGCCAAATGATTAGGCGCATTGCTACAATTTGCTAAGTACATTATTTTTTTTTCTCTAAAACCAGCATTTTCATCTCTTAGTTTGGAGTCTATCGCTTTTTTTATCCTCTGCCAAAAAATTATATTTAGTATTTTTCCTGGTACAGAAAGCAGCATGATTCCTCTATAGTTTCCACATTCTTGGAGATCATCTTTCTTTGACCAATTATCCGTCTCTCCTCTCCATGGGTATCTCTTCTTTGTCCCAGATAGTCACAATTAGCTGGTGAAAGATTCTTGATGAAAGTTCCATATTTGCCTTTAGTACTTCTGCGGAGATTTCATCAGGACCAGCAGCCTTTCCGATTTTCAATAGTTTGATCGCATTTTCAATTTCTGTTCTTGTGGGTGCATTGCAGTTAATTAGGAGATCTTCGTATGCAGGACTTTAGTAGATGGGAAGTTCCCGCATTGCTGTATTCAATAATTGGCGAGTTTAGTAAATTATAAATGTGCTTTGTAAAAGGGTTTGGGACATTGGAATATTAATAAGTTTAGGGGCAAGGGTACAGAATTAAGAATATTATAAATTGCGTTACTTGAAATCATGATTTATTAAGTAACTCAAGTATAAAGTTCACACATGGCTGCCAACATTGTTAGGCGGGCTATAGCTAGTGGGGTTTTTTTTTTAATATTCATTTATGAACATCATTCTATTTAAATTTTTTTTAGTAGAAAAAGTTTCCTCTCACTCAAAATCGATAGGATGGTAGTTTTTAAGTACCAACATACACAGCTATATGATATTTAAATGGGGTGTTTCGAGTACTTTCTCAAAGCTTATTACATTCAATGATTTACTTTGGGCTCCCAGTAAGACTTAAAGAAAAATTGTTCTTGATTTAGTAAGTCTTATTCTAATTTTCAAATATGACTGCATTAAAAAATGTATTTCATGCTCTTCTTTTCACCATCAAAAGACAAAGTCTCTCAGTTGCAGCGCCTTGGCGACTACCTGATCAAAGTTGGTTTCATTTAATTTCACGCCTTACTTTCTCTCCCCATATTTCTATTTAACTGGCATGAATAAAAGGAACCTGCTATAGATACCGTATCTCTAACGAACAAGTCAAAGAGAAAATTCGTAAACCAATTGGGCATTATTATGACCTCCTGGAAACTGTAAAAAAAGCGCTAACTGGAATTGTATGGCCACTTGACAAGATATCAAGGGCTCGCCAAAGAAATAATGCAGGGCACAACGAGAGGAGGCAGAAGAGGAGGAAGACATGAAAAAAATGGAAGATAACATCAAAGAGTGGAAGGGACCAAAGCTTGGCGATGCTGTACGAAGTGCAGAAAACAGAGAGGAATGGAGAGGGATAGATTTCATGTCATCTGTCGAGGCCCAATGGTGCAAGGACTAAAGGAAATAATCATGATGATGAATAAAGGGCGATGTAGAATCCGGATAATTTTTTTCAGTTTTTTTCAATGTTTTATAATTATAAATAGAATTTCAATGTGAAAAAAACAATGCTTCACGTCTTTCAATACCTAAAATACGTTCTTTTCGTTAAAGTTTGTCGAAAAATTCGTCCCTCAATATACAGAAAAACGTCAATCAGGTGCAGAACCCCCCCCCCCCCCCCCCCCCCCCCCCCCCCCCCCGCACAGAGCTCTTTAATTTCTCAGTGACGGGACCACAACAGAATAAAATCTGGCCAACTTCCATTTGTGACCGAAATATACATGCGCCAAAACAAAAGTAGTCTGTGTGAGGTATAAAGTGTACAACTCTGTTTAACCAATTTTGAGCGCGTCAACAAAATGAACCAACTCAGTTATTAGTACTTACCACCAGTCTACTCGTCGTCTTACACTAGTATAAACAAACCCTCCAAATAAAGGCGTCTGGAAAACTTGAGCTCCCCATCTACTAAAGTCAATTGACAAAACAGGCATTCAAGTAACGCACTTAATAGGAACCCTAATTAGAGATAACTTATGGGAATTTTATTTTGCACGCCTACTAAACACAGCATTACAGCCAGACATACATATCTAAAGAATTATTATTTGATTAAGTATTCACAGCCAATGTCCTTTCCTTTTATCATTGAAACATCCTATCTTAAAATTTTGATACCCAGATATTTGCCATTTTGCTATATACTGGGTATTGTTTTAAGAAGTAAATTTTAAAAAATATCGACCCTGATTGAATAAAGTATAATTCAAAAAAAGGGGACTTGCTTAGCGAAATTCATCCTACTAGCACTTTTTTTAAGCCATAAGTATTTTAAAAAAAGATGAAACTATGAAATAAATTCATTTTTAAGAAGTTTGTCTTTCAAATCAAGTACCAGAAATCATTTATTTTATTGAAGTTTATAACTATAAAACCATAATTTTCATCATTCATTTTAGTAATATACCACTTCCATTTACAGCCTATACTATCATCATGTGGGGAGGGAGAAGATCCCGCTCCAAAACTATGAGCTCCTTTGATTCCACTGTTCACAGTTTTCTTTTGATTGGTAAATGTGGAAATGGTAAAAGTTCATCTGGAAATGCTATCACAGGGAAGAAACATTTCTTCGCGCCATTTCACACAACACAAGCCTGCACAAAAGCTGTAACAAAATGCGAAACTCAACGTTGGGGCAAAAGGATAATTATCCTTGATACACCTGGATTAGCAGACACAGAACTTGATGACATTGAGAATGCCGAGTTTGCAAGAAAGAACATGATAAAATCATTTAGACTTTGCCCAGGGGGTTTTAGTGCATTTCTGATTGTAATGAATTATACCAATACGTTTAATAACGAAGAGAAGCAAGCGATCGAAACGTTGACAGAAATATTTGGTAACGAAATGTTCGCCTCCTCCATCTTAATTTTTACACACGGAGACAACTTTGATATTGACCAAAAAGTTTCAAATTATGAATACAGTCAAAAAGAATTTGTTTCATGGTGCCTTAATGTTCAGGGAGATCTACAAATATTGCTCCAGAAATGTAACTATAGGGCCGTGCTCTTTCATAATAATAAATGGTATGAGAAAGAAAGAGATCTTGAAATGGTGGAGCTATTCGAAAAGTTGGAAGAATTAAAACGCAATAAATATTCAATATATCAATTCAACAAAAATGAGGCCCGAAGAAAGAAACTAATTTTAAATAAATATCCTCAGCAGCTGAAAGATAAAATAGCCAAAGAACTGGGTGAACTGAAAGACAATTTAAAACTTATCACGCACCAGAATGAAATGTTATATACAAGAACTAGTAAAGTTTTCGAAAAATTAAAATGCCATAAAATGCCACAGAAAGTTTTATTTGAAAATGCTACAAAAAATTTACTTGATAATTTCGAAAACATGGAAAATAATCGAGTAAAATTTGATTTCCTTTCCGAAATTCTGAAGGATATGAACGGCCCCTTTCTCCAAGAACTAGGGACTCTTATAGCTGACATCAAAAAAATATTAAATCCAGAAATGCACAAAAATGAATTGAAAAGAAAAGTTTCTCTATTGTTAGAGTACATAAAAGAACAAGGTCATGGCACAAAGCACTTAAATCTGGAGGAACAAAGAGTGAAAATGTTCCAAAGAGAAATCGAAGAACTGGACACAAGAGGTGGTGACATTGTTACAGAAATGAAATGGTAGCTTAATCCATTTATGGGGTTTTGATAATAAATGCCTTCAGTGGACGCTAATATTTATCAATGACTGCATTGGATGCTAATCTTAATGAATGAATTCAATGGACGCTAATGTTAGTAAAAGACTTCCGCTGATGCTAACTTTAAAAAAGGACTTCAGCAGATGCTAAAATTTATAAATAATCTCAGTGGACGCTTATGTAAAGTATTGCCTATATTTGTTGCTAATGTAAATCAATGCCTTAAGTGGACGCTAATGTTAATCAATGCCTTCAGTGGACGCTAATGTTAATCAATGCCTTCAGTGGACGCTAATGTTAATCAATGCCTTCAGTGGACGTTAATGTTAATCAATGCCTTCAGTGGACGCTAATGTTAATCAATGCCTTCAGTGGACGTTAATGTTAATCAATGCCTTCAGTGGACGCTAATGTTAATCGATGCCTTCAGTGGACGCTAATGTTAATCAATGCCTTCAGTGGACGCTAATGTTAATCAATGCCTTCAATGGACGCTATTGTTAATCAATGCCTTCAGTGGACGCTAATGTTGATCAATGCCTTCAGTGGAAGCTAATGTTAAGCAATGCCTACAGTGGACGCTAATGTTAATCAATGCCTTCAGTGGAAGCTAATGTTAATCAATGCCTACAGTGGACGCTAATGTTAAGCAATGCCTTCAGTGGACGCTAATGTTAATCAATGCCTACAGTGGACGCTAATGTTAATCAATGCCTACAGTGGACGCTAATGTTAATCAATGCCTTCAGTGGACGCTAATGTTAAGCAATGCCTACAGTGGACGCTAATGTTAATCAATGCCTTCAGTGGACGCTAATGTTAAGCAATGCCTACAGTGGACGCTAATGTTAATCAATGCCTTCAATGGACGCTAATGTTAATCAATGCCTTCAGTGGACGCTAATGTTAATCAATGCCTTCAGTGGACGCTAATGTTAATCAATGCCTTCAATGGACGCAATTGTTAATCAATGCCTTCAGTGGACGCTAATGTTGATCAATGCCTTCAGTGGAAGCTAATGTTAAGCAATGCCTACAGTGGACGCTAATGTTAATCACTGCCTTCAGTGGAAGCTAATGTTAATCAATGCCTTCAGTGGACGCTAATGTTAATCAATCCCTTCAGTGGACGCTAATGTTAATCAATGCCTATAGTGGACGCTAATGTTAATCAATGCCTACAGTGGACGCTAATGTTAAGCAATGCCTACAGTGGACGCTAATGATAAAACAGTAGACATCGTGTGACGTAATATCAGGTAAAAGAGACGGGTAAGGGAAGTCAGTACAACGTAAGTTGATTTGTCCGTGAAAGTTTTTTCGACAGGATGGCAATAGATTATCGAGCTGTATGGCTGGTCACGCCCTCTTGTTAATACATACCACTGTCGTTTCACGTGAAGGTTCCTTGCATGATATAACCTTCTCAAATCCTGCAGCACTGGCTCTATCACCATGCCCATGTTGCATTCTTGGGTGATGGTAAGAATATTGATTTCCTCATCCTCAAAGAAATGGGGACCTAACATACCTTGTGCTGAAACTGCACACCATATCGCCACCTGTGCCCTGTGAAGCGGTTCCGGAACAGTAAAAGTTGGGGCTCCAACCAAGGAAGCGAGTTGTCTGCCGATTGATGCAGCCGTCCAAGTAAATGTTACTTTCTTCCGAGAACCACACATTCCAAAAGATAAATATGGATCCTCGTACACCATGGCCATAAATGCTTCAAAATACATCATCCCGGCTGGCATATCTAGTTCTATCAAGCGTTGCAGAACCTGTTTCCGGTACGAATATTCACTGATGTCGTTAGACAAACGGTAAACGAACGTATCGCTGATGTTCAGTTTTAATTGTGTTCGTCGTAGTTTTCGTGGCGGTGGAGGTGGAATCTGCTGTAGAGAAAATGCATTATTCTCATTTTTGGTAACACTGACTAGCTGAGCGGTCTTACCCTTCCGTTGAGACAGCACACTTCCAGAACGGCAAAAATCTATATCAATTGTCAGCATAGCCGTGTTACTTGGTGACGTCTTTTCAAACATCTCTTTGAATCGTTCTATTACCTTTTTCAACTTGGGCCCGCTGTACGACCAGTTTTATTTGAGCGAAAGTAATGTTCTTCTGTCATTGTCTTCATCCGCAGAGAGACCCATTTCCAACAGCTACTTCCAAACACATCTTCCTTGACACCTCTACCAAATATTATAATAGCGAGTAGAACAATGATAGAAACTTTGACAGAAATATTTGGCAACGAATTATTCGCTTCCACCATCTTAACCTTTACACAAGGAGACAACTTTGATATGAACCAAGAAGTTTCCAAACTTGAAGACAATCAAAAAGAATTTGATACATAGTGTCTTATAGTCCATAGAGTTCTACACATATTGCTACAAAAATGTAACTATAGGGCTGTGCTCTTTCCCAATAACGAAGGGTATGAGAACAAAAGAGATCGTGATATGTTAAATGTGTTTGAAAAGTTGGAAGAATTAAAACGGCATAAGTATTCACATTATCCATTCAACAAAAATGAGGCCCAAAGAAAGAAACTTAAGCTAAAATAAATATCCTCAGCTGCTGAAAGAAAAAATAGCCGAAGAACATGATGAACTGAACCATTTATCATTCAATAAAAGGATACACTATACACAAGGACTCTCATGCTGACATCAATAAAATATTAATTCCAGAAAAGCCAGAAAAATTAATTGAAAAGAAAAATTGTTTATAGTTAACTTACATTTAAACAGTAACTCTTGAGACATACAAATTATCGCTGAAAGAACAAAGAGTTTAAATTAAATGTTTGACACAGAAGAGAAATGGACACTAGGGCTGGATAAATGAGTTAAACTTTTTTTTTTGTCATAACTTTAAATAAATGACGAAATAAATAATTTATTTTTGCAGTGGATTAAACGTCTATATGTAATCGAAAAAGAATTTGGGGGAAAATATCAACAGATTATTTAAGTTAGCGGGTGAAAAATCAAATAAAAAAAGACATATCATAGTCCCAATATGTTTTTTTAATAAAACTTAAGCTCTAAATCAGTGTTTCTCAACCTTGACCCTTTAATACAGTTCCCCATGTTGTGCTGAAACCCCACCCCCCCCACAAAAAAAAAAAAAAAAAAGTTTCTACTTCATAAATATGGTTTTCCGATAGTCTCATACGACCCCTGTTTAAGGGTCGTTCGACCCATAAAGGATTATGACTCACAGGTTGAGAATCATTGCTCTAAATGTTTTAAATATAAAAGCAAGAAAAATAAGTATTGTATTGAATTTTTGTCAGATTTTTTAACATGAAAAACGAGGCGCAATTTTTTGCTCTAATGTATTGTATAATTCTATAAAATATTGAAATGAAAAAAAAATGAAATTTAAGATATTACTCATACCCAATTCTTAAGTGACTGAAGACAAAATAATAATTATTATTGACGCCGTAAATTTCAAACGAATACTTATTGCTAATGTGTGCATAATTTATCTTTGATTTTGCAATATGATTAAAACTTGTGTCGTATACCGCATTTTATGTGTAAAGTTATTTTATATTTATGATGCATTTTTTTATTAAACCAAATAAAATCTTACTTGAAAACTTTCTTTAATTTTTGTTTGTCTTGTTTGCCATTTTCATTTTTTAAATATGTGTTTAATGCACATTTGCCGTCGACAAGAGATTTAATGTGTGATACATTTCAAAGTCATTATTATAGATAAATATTACCAATGAAGCGTTTCGGAGAAAAGAGAGAGCCAAATTGTTCTGTAACTGAGCAAATTACCGACTGATGCTATGCCATAAACAGAGTTTCAATCTCTTTTATTATTATTGAAAACTGTATTTCTACTCATTTCCGTCGTGTTTGTCCAGCGTAATTTTTTTGTGTACACATGTGACTCTCTCACTCGATTCATCGTCTGTCTGAGTGCTGCTCCGGTCTGCTGGGTCAAGGTGGGCGTGTCGACACTTTCGCTCAGTTTTTAATCGTTGCTTTTTTGCAGTGAACGGCGACAGAATGGTGGGTAGGGGAGCTAAGGTGAGAGCAGTAAGATTTTGAGAGGATGGTTCTAAATCTACTTTTTATAATGTTGCCTAAGTAAGGAGTAAATTCAATTTAATCGGAATTTTATATATGCACTAATTAGTAATTGATTTAAACACACGAGGTTGGCAAATACTGATGAAAGCAATGTTTGTTATGTAAGCTTTTGGCAGGGTGTTGGTTTTTTATTATCTAATTTTCATGGAAATGCAATAACTATCGCCAACTTTCATAAACGTGCCCTGAAATAATGCAATGGAAATACAGTAACTATCGCCAACTTTCATAAACGTGCCCTGAAATAATGCGATGGAAATACAATAACTATCGCCAACTTTCATAAACGTGCCCTGAAATAATGCGATGGAAATACAATAACTATCGCCAACTTTCATAAACGTGCCCTGAAATAATGCAATGGAAATACAATAACTATCGCCAACTTTCATAAACGTGCCCTGAAGTAATGCAATGTTGACATATTTTTTCGTGTTTGTTATACGCCTGTGAAAGATATATAACTTTAATTCATGGTTTAGTGTTATATACAGGACACTAAAAAAAATATAAGGTCATCAGTTTACCGGGTAAAGGTCGGGGGGCGTTGCTACTTGACAAAGATTTGAAGAAAAGTAGGTCTTTGGAACTAAATTACCCACGAATATATCTCGTGATCTATTGTGTGCTTGTATGAGTCGATAGCAACTTGTCATTTAATTTGAAAAAAAAAATTTAATTTCTTTTTTTTCCTATAAGTAGTCTTAAAATATTGTGTTTTTAATCTACGCTGTAAAAGGAGTGGGAAATATTTAATGTTAAAATAGCACAGGGGTGAAAAAAATGTGCTGTTGCGAACCTAAGTGGATTTTTTTTTTTGGGGGGGGGGGGTGTCATTGAGGGCATGTTTAGTCAATTAACTTTAGTTGACGGGAAGCTACGTATTGCGGCCGCAAATGTTTTGCGAGCTATAAATAGTTTTCTGATATTTTCAGATCGGAAGTGCTGTAAAAGGAGTGGGAAATATTTAATGTTAAAATAGCACAGGGGTGAAAAAAATGTGCTGTTGCGAACCTAAGTGGATTTTTTTTTTTGGGGGGGGGGGGGGTCATTGAGGGCATGTTTAGTCAAGTAACTTTAGTAGACGGGAAGCTACGTATTGCGGCCGCAAATGTTTTGCGAGCTATAAATAGTTTTCTGATAATTTCTACATTGGATGTGACAGTCTGATGAAGACTTCCTGGAAAAAGCCAATAAAATTGTGGACGTTTTCCGCTCCAGATTTTATCCTGATACTTTTATTTGATCAGTACTCGGCCGTGTCTAATACGATTCCACGAATTTGGGTGTTAAGGACTCATTCAAGTAAACTGACTGTCGAACGAAATTCATCCTTACTTACCATCCTCACAATGGGAGTGTACAAAATATATTTGAACAATTTTCATAAGCTCCTGGCTGAACCCGACACTAACAAAATACTATCATCCTCTCAAGTCATTGTCTTATCGAACTTATCTTAATTGTATCATTCAGCGCAGTTCTTGTTCACATGTGTACATCTAAGCACATCTGGACTCTGAACCCTTTTTAGGTGACATACCCCAACTACTTCATCACAGATACCTAAGATCAGATAGATCATGGTGTATTTTTTTTCTTAAAATTAGGACCGAAAGATATAAAAATTATTTTGTTCCACCGCCTTTATGAATTGACCAGCGTTATCCCCCCCCCCCCCCCCCATTTGTGTGATTTCCAAATCGAAATGATCACTAAGTAACTCATTATTTCACTACGGGAGTTCATTGATGTCTGATTTCTAGGCTACAAAATAATATAAATGTCTTATTTTTAATGTGTTATAATTGTAAAATGTTCACTTTGTTGAAAAATATGTATTTATTTATGTGCTGAAAACGAATAGATAAATGTAATTGTAATTTTTTTTAAAAAACATTTCCATTTATTAGGTTCAGTAATGAAACCTTACCTTATCTTCCCACTATGACATAGCACAACGAAGGCAGATACCAGAGAGAGAAAAGTGGACACAGCTAACATCTCCATCACAAGCGTAAAAGTCTCCTCTGAATCATTTATTGAGACGAACAAAAAGGCTTCCGGTAAACGTCAAAGATTATCTTTTATATATATTTCTCTTCTTGTGTGGCTGCTTACTTTTAACAGCTAACCTTCCACCTACTCAACATGATTAATATTAATAGTACTGGTTTGGGGGAGGGGGGTAATTCTGTTAAGAAGGGAGCGTCATTTGTGACGGTTGAACTCTTTTTTTTTTCGGAGAGTACCGTTATATTAATATATAAAGAACCATGGGAATGGTGTAGGACTGTCTGTATGACTATTGTTTTAAATCCAGCAGGTAGGACTGTCTATATTCCTAATGTTTTAAGGCCAGCAGGTAGGACTGTCTATATGCCTATTGTTTTAAATCCAGCAGGTGGACTGTCTATATGCCTATTGTATTAAGGCCAGCAGGTAGGACTGTCTATATGCCTATTGATTTAAGGCCAGAAGCTAGGACTGTCTATATGCCTATTGTTTTAAGGGCAAAAGGTAGGACTGTCTGTAGGCCTATTGTTTAAAGGCCGGCAGGTAGGGAGTAGGACTGTCTGTAGGCCTATCGTTTAAAGGCCGGCAGGTAGGGTGTAGGACTATCTGTAGGCCTATCGTTTAAAGGCCGGCAGGTAGGGTGTAGGACTGTCTGTAGGCATATCGTTTAAAGGCCGGCAAGTAGGGTGTAGGACTGTCTGAAGGCCTATTTTTTAAAGGCCGGCAGGTAGGGTGTAGGACTGTCTATATGCCTATTGTTTTAAGGGCAAAAGTTAGGACTGTCTGTAGGCCTATCGTTTAAAGGCCGGCAGGTAGGGTGTAGGACTGTCTGTAGGCCTATCGTTTAAAGGCTGGCAGGTAGGGTGTAGGACTGTCTGAAGGCCTATTGTTTAAAGGCTGGCAGGTAGGGTGTAGGACTGTCTGTAGGCCTATTGTTCAAAGGCTGGGCAGGTAGGGTATAGGACTGTCTGGAGGGCTGTTGTTTAAAGGCCGGCAGGTAGGGTGTAGGACTGTCTGTAGGCCTATTGTCTAAAGGCCGGCAGGTTAGATGTAGGACTCTCTGTGGGTTTTTTGTTTAAAAGCCGGCAGGTGATGCGTTAGAATGTAAGTAGGCCTTTTCTTAAATGTCTGCAGATAAGGTGTAGACAATGGGCCTACAGACAGTCCGTAGGCTTATTATTTATACTAAAAATTATCGGACCCGGAGTAAAAAAAACTGCATTCGGTTAAGCCCTGGTAAATGATATTCTTCTTCATAAAACCCGTTACAATGTGAATATAATCTTGGGGATGCGTAGTTTATAATGTCTTTGATACTTCATAATATTAATTTTTTTTTAATGTAGTTGCATAGTCTCTTATAAATTTAATCACCGGCATTTTTAGATAACAGTAACAGTTTTAAATGTCATTGAATATTCTAATACACTTACAAAGCTATTCACCTGCATTTTTAGATATAAACAAATCTATACTGTGACTTTATTAATCAAATAGTCAATGATTACACTCCAGTTTCCCTTACATGTGTCGATGTTTACATCTCTTTGTGTTACACCTCTTCACTGATATCAAGTACCCCCCCCCCAAAAAAAGGGGGGGGGGTAGTGGGTGTTTATTTTTATGTTTTGTATTATTTTGAATATCAGTGAGTGTGTCTGTATGTATTAAGTAAAATCCCATAATTATGTTCGTGTTAGCATATTATGTATTTGGTGTATGATTTATAACGTCAGGTTTCAGAACCTTTGTTTTTAAGCGCATTTGTGTATTACCCTCTTGGCGGTACGTGACGTTTTGGCTCGGAGCCGTGTTGGCGCAGGTCATTTTTGGTGCACAGATGGCCTAAGCCATTATTTACCGTTCCTGCCTCCTCATGCGTGCGCTTCACATTTCTAAAAGTGCAAGAGTGTTCTAGACTAAAATCATAAGTGAAGTAGAGTTTCATAAGTAGATCACATATTATAATTCTGTTGAAACAGTAAAATGGAAAATGTTACATCGAAGCGTGGTAAACAAAAGTTGAATCACGAAGGATACTGTTGTGTGTTAACTTTATTAAAAGTTTAGAAACGTTAAGTTAAATAAAATATAAATAGTTATTTTTAAACGTTTTCTTAATTTATATATTTTGCATTCTCTTTATTAAAAGTTTATAAACGTTAAGTTAAATAAAAAGTTATTTTTAAATGGCGCCAAAATGTCCTGCGCCAAAATATCCTGCGCCAAAATGTCCTGCGCCAAAATGTCCTGCGCCAAAATGTCCTGCGCCAATATGTCCTGCGCCAAAAAGTCCTGCTTCGCCTCTTGGTGCACTTGTGGCGTCTTTGTGTAGATCATGACGTCATTCTGTTGCTAAAGTTGTATTTTTCGAAGTGCAATAGCAAACTTGTAGAGACGGCCCCGATAATTTAGGTAGATAAATGGACTGCCCAAAAGCTGAAACTTTAGTTTGATTATAACTGCTGAAGTGAATAGCTACAAGTAAAATTGGGCCCATTTCTTCATCGGTCAAAACTAAATACTAAATTAGTTTCATCAACATATTCAAAGTCGGAAGCTGATCTGTAACTCAAATTAGATCTTCAAATGTGGTCCTCATAAGTTAGTTTGTGAACCACTGCCCTAGATGATAAAAATTCGTCGAAATCTCATGGCTTCGATAACTCGGAAAACTAGACCATAAGCAGACGCTGTCGAGACGCTGTATGTATGAGCTTACTTTATGACAGGTGTATGTGACACTATGAATGTGTCATTTTATGTGTATGTGACAGTATGGATGTGTCATTTTATGTGTATGTGACACCATGGATGTGTCATTTTATGTATCTGTGACACTATGGATGTGTCATTTTATGTATCTGTGACACTATGGATGTGTCATTTTAAGTGAATGTAACAATATGGATGTGTCATTTTACTTTCTTACATTTTGTAATGTTAAAATCAGTGTTTCGCTTATAACCGGTTCTCGTTTTACATTTATTTTTATTTAAGTGATCTGCTTTAGTAACAAACTTTTTTGTTTGTGCATTACTTTAATCTTGTGTTTCTTAAATGTTTCAATAATATTAAAGCTAAAACAATAACTTAAAATTTATATAATAATAAATCTAATTGGTTTTTAAAATAAAATTCCGTCCGACAGTGATAGAGCATTTTTATTCTTGTGGTTTGATTGGTTTAAAGTCTGAACGGTTCTTACTTATATTTAAAATACAACCGGATACTTAAGAACTGTGTGAAGGTGCATTACTGATACTAAGATGTTCGAGACGGCTTCCGCTGTCACTCTGTTCATGGTGGAAATTAAAATGGTGTCTTCATTAAATTATTTTTCGATAGAGGGAGCACGAAGTGTCCCTGTATATGTGTGTGTGTGTGTGTGTGTGTGTGTGTGTGTGTGTCTGTGTGTGTGTGTCTGTGTGTGTGTGTCTGTGTGTCTGTGTGTGTGTGTGTGTCTGTGTGTGTGAGAGCTTTCTTAGTTGACCAAAAAAGACAAGGGCCCTTTGCTAATGTCGAATTACCTATAGAGTTTTAAATATTTGTAAATATATTCTCAAAGTTCATGGCAATAATCAGTCTCATAAACATTGAAATGGCAGCTTGATCCAAGTTGTTTTACAATAGCATTCGAGCTGGGTCTTATCAAATAACATGAGTTAAGGAACCTATATATCCCATTAAAATATGTTCACAAAGCCAAAGCAACAGACCATTTAGGTATAAAAATTAATGGGGATTAGTGGATAATTTTGAAATTAATATTTCAGCAAAAAAAACTAATATTATTCGAGGCCTAGCATCTGAGTGAAGGGCTTTTATATGCACTACGCTTCTGTTGGTACCGCTTCTATATCCGACTGCTTCCTAACAAGCTGGCTGCTTCCTATTCAGCGTATTTGGTATTGAGCTTCTGCAATAAGTTTTGTATTATGTGACGTATAATAATTCCCAATAACTACGTTCACGCAAAATGATTTTTTTTTTAAATAACGCAACAGCGTTTGGTGCGTAATATTTTCATTTTCGGAAACTGAAATCGTCTCAATTGAAAAATTGTGTAATAAAGAGTTGGTTTAAAAGTGATTGGGACATTGGAATATTAATATATTTTAGGTGTGGTGGTATAGAGTAGGTGGAGGGAAAAGCTATAATTAGGAATATTATAAAGCGCGTTATTTGAAATCATGATTTGTCAAGTAACTCAAGTATAAAGTTCACGCATGGCTGCCGACATTGTTAGACGGGCTAAAGCTAGTTGTTTTTTTTTCAAATATTCAAGTATGGAAATCATTTGATCAAATATGTTCTTTTAAGTAGACAAAGTTTCCTCTCACTCCATATCGATAACATAGTTGTTTTTAAGTATCAACACACACAGATATCATACATTTAAAAGGGATTATTTGAGTATTTTCTCAAATCTTATTTATTACATTCAATGATTTACTTTGGGCTCCCAGGAAGACTTAAACAAACTATTTCTTGTTTTAGCGAGTCTTATTCTAGGTCTCCAATATGACTATACACAACTTGTTATTTCCTGTTCTTCAATTCGTCGTCAAAAGGCAATGTCTCTCAAATGCAGCTCTTTGGTGACTTACCCTTAATCCAAGTTGATTTTATTTAACGAGTCCGAATAAAGGGTGATGTGTAGAAGTTAGATACATTTTTTGAGTTTCTTTCAGTGTTTGATAATAGTAAATAAAGTTAAAGGTAACAAAAACAGCGCTTCACGTCTTTCAACACCTAAAATCCGTTTTTCGTTGAAGTTGCCCGAAATGTTCGTCCCTCAATATACAGAAAAACGTCAATCCGAGGCTGACCACACACTGACCTCTTTAACTTCTCTGTGGCGGGACCAAAACTAATTAAAATCTGGCCAACTTCCATTTATGAAAGAGTTATAAATTTTCCAAAACGAAAGTTTTGGCTGCAAGGTATAAAGTATAAAACTCTTTTTAAACAACTTTCAACGTGTCAACAAAATTAACCGATCATTTCTAAGTACTGGCAATAAGTTTGCTCGTTGCCTAACACAAGAATAAATAGCCTGCCAGACAATAATGACGGTGGCAACGGTCGATCTTCCCGTAAATTGACTAAACACGCATTCAAGTAACGCACTTTATAAGAACCCCAATTGGAGCCAACTTGTGGGGATGTTATTTTGCGCGCCTATTGAACACAACGCTACAGCCATGCATACATACGTAAAGAATTAATATTTGTTAAGTATTCACAACAAATGTCCTTTCCTTTTTTTTAATTATTGAAATTTTTTATCTTAATATTTTGATACCGTACCCAAATAGTTGTCATTTGCTATATACTTGGCATTGTTTTAAGATTTCAATTTCAAATATATATAACCAAATAGATTCATTGAATAAAGTCAAAGTCAAAAAGGGGACTTGATTAGCAAAATTCATTGTACAGGTGATATGAGTTATAATTGCTGCAACTATTAAATTAATTCATTTTTTTTAAAGTTTGTCTTTTAAATTAAATACGAAAATCATTTATTTTATTTTATTTTATAACTATAAAGCCATAATTTTCATTATTAATTTTAATAATATGGCGTTTTCATTTACAGCCTAAGCTATCATCATGTGGAGCAGATTCCGTTCCAAAACTATGAGCTCCATTGATCCCACTGTTCACAGTTTTCTTTTGATTGGTAAATGTGGAAATGGTAAAAGTTCATCTGGAAATTCTATCACAGGGAAGAAACATTTCTTCGCGCCATTTCACACAACTCAAGCCTGCACAAAAGCTGTAACAAAATGCGAAACTCAACGTTGGGGCAAAAGGATAATTATCGTTGATACACCTGGATTAGCAGACCCAGAACTCGATGATATTGAGAATGCCGAGTATGCAAGAAAGAACATGACAAAATCATTTACATTATGCCCTGGTGGTTTTGATGCGTTTCTAATTGTAATGAATTATACCAACAGGTATAAACACGAGGAGAGACAAGTGATAGAAACTTTGACAGAAATATTCGGCAACGAAATGTTCGCTTCTACCATCTTAATTTTTACACACGGAGACAACTTTGATATGGAACAAAAAATTTCCAAACCTGAAGACAGTCAAAGAGAATTTGCTACGCTGTGTCTTAAAGTCAATGGAGATCTACAAATATTGCTCCAGAAATGTAACTATAGGGCCGTGCTCTTTCATAATAATGAAGGGTATGAGAGATATAGAGATCTTGATATGTTAAAGCTGTTCGAAAGGTTCGAAGAATTAAAACGCAATAAATATTCACTAGACCAATTCAACAAAAATGAGGCCCGAAGAAAGAAACTAATTTTAAATAAATATCCTCAGCAGCTGAAAGATAAAATATCAAAAGAACTTGGTGAACTGAAAGACGATGTAAAAATTATCACGCACCAAAATGATACATTACATACAAGGACTAAACAAGTTTTGGACAAATTAATGTGCGATGAAATGCCTCAGAAAGTTTCAATTCAAAATGCTACAAGAAATTTACTTGATAATTTCGAAAACATGGCAAATAATCAAGTAAAATTTGATTTCCTTTCCGAAATTCTGAAGAATATGAACCGCCCCTTTCTCCAAGAACTAGGGACTCATATAGCTGACATCAAAAAAATATTACATCCAGAAAAGCACAAAAATGAATTGAAAAGAAAAGTTTCTCTATTGTTAGAGTACGTTAAAGAACAAGGTCATGGAACAAAGCAGTTACATCTGGAGGAACAAAGAGTAAAAATGTTCCAAAGAGAAATCGAAGCACTGGACACAAGAGGTGGTGACATTGTTACAGAAATAAAATGGTAGTTTAATCCATTTATGGGGTTTTGCGCTCTGGATAAGATGTTTAAAAAAACAAAATGGATCCCTCTGTTTATTTATGTGCTACACTGCATCGTTTTATTTAAAACTGAAATTATTCCCGTCAGTAATTTGCAACGTAGTTATAAAGTAAGATTATTCAAGTCAGTGGACTCTAAAGTTAATAAATGACTTCAGTGGACTCTAAAGTTAATCAATGACTTCAGTGGACGCTAATGTTAATCAATGACTTCAGTGGATGCAAATGTTAATCAATGACTTCAGTGGACGCATATGTTAATAAATGACTTCATTTATACTAAAGTTAATAAATGAATTTATTGGATACTAAAGTTAATAAAGTGGACGATTTGTTTTCTTTATGCATAGAGGAAAACTTGACATACAAATGAACGTAAAAAATACATCAGACGCCGAAAGTAACAGTACTGAGAAGAAAAGGCGAACAATTTTTCTTGTTATCAAGTGTAAATGTATTTCTCCTGTGGGAAAGAACCATACACACTATTAGCGTTTTGATTTACCACGGTATGCGTAACGCTAGTGTTCATGGTGTGCACCGCCTTGGTGCGCACTGCCTTGGTGCGCACTGCCTAATTGTAGACAGGGTTCATATCGCTCACATAAATTTGAAAACATATCACTAAACAATGGCTGCTGCACATTTATGCAAAAAAGGACTTTTATCTCGAGGAATGCAGGCACAGTTCTAGGTGAATCTTCACAGTTGAACGCACTCTCCTTTAAAATTCCAAAATAGTAAGCATTGGGTGGCCTAAGATCAGATGAAAGAGACGGGTATGGGAAGTCAGTACCACGTAAATTGATTCGTCCAGGAATTTTTTTCTGCCGGATGGCAAGAAGATTATCGAGCTGTATGGCTGGTCGCGCCGTCCAGTTGATACAAGTGTCTATTTATGTGAAGGTTCGCTTTCATGATATTACCTTCTCAAATCCTGAAGCAAAGGCTCGTTCCCCATGCCCTTTGTAGCGTTCTTGGGTGACGGTAAGAAAATTTACGTCTTCATCCTCAAAGAAATAGGGGCCTAACTTACCTTGTGCTGAAATGCCATACCATATCGCTACCCGTGCCCTGTGAAGCGGTTTGTGGACAATAACATCTGGCCCCTCCAACCAAGGAAGCGAGTTGTCTGGCGATTGGTGTAGTCGTCCAAGTAAATGTTACTTCCGTCCGAGAACCACGCATTCCAAAAAATAAATATGGATCCTCGGACACCATGGCCGAAAATGCTTCATAATACATCATCACGGCTGGCATATCTAGTTCTATCAAGCGTTGCCCAACCTGTATCCAGTACAAAAATTCGCTGATGTTAAGTTTCAATGGTGCTCGTCACAGTTTTTGTGGGGACGATGGTAGAATCTGCTGCAGAGAACTTGCGTGATTCTTATTTGTTGAAGCAGTTACACGCCGAACAGTCTTACGCTTCCATTGAGACAGTACACCTCCGAAAAAGTAAGCTTCCTTAACAATAGACATCATAACCGTTGTCATATTAGACAAATCTTGGAATTGTTTTGTTACCTTTTTTCAAACTTGGGCCAGCTTCACGGTCAGTTTCATTTGAGTGCAAATAATATTCATCTGTGATTTCCTTTAGCCTCCACAGAGAGACCCCTTAAGAACAATTACATCCAAATACAAATTACTTGACATCTCTACCAAAAAATTATAATAGTGAGTTGAACAAGTGATAGAAACTTTGACAAAAATATTTGGTCACGAAATGTTTGCATCTACCATCCTAATTTTAACACAAGGAGACTACTTTGATATGGACCTGGCAGTTAACAAACCTGAAGACAGTCAAAAATAATTTGTTACATGGTGTCTTAAAGTTTATGGAGAGCTACAAATATTGCTATAGAAAATATAACTATAGGACCACGCTCTTTCCCAATATCGGATGGTATGACAAGTAAAGAGATCTTGAATAAATGGTGAAATTGTTTGAAAAATTGGAAGAATAAATATTCAATATATTAATTCAACAAAAATGAGACCCGACGAAAACAATTAATTTTAAATAAATTCCGTCACAGATGAAATATAAAATAGCCAAGGAGCTAGATGAAATGAAAGATGTCTTAAGACTTATTACACACCAAAATATATACATAACATACAAGGATTCTTACTGTTGACATCAATAAAATATTTAATCCAGAAAAGCCCAAAAATTGATGGGGAAAAAAGTTGTTTATAGTTCAATTACATTAAACAAGAATCTCGTGAGGCATACAAGTTACTGCTGGGTGTAAAAAGAGTTTAACCGTTTCATACAGAATAGAATTGGACACTAGGGCTGGAAAAGAATAAATCAGTATATCATTATTTTTGGAAACATTAGCTTTAAGTAAAAAAAAAAAAAAAAAAAAAATGGGGGGGGGGGGGGGGATTATAAGTCACGCATATAATTGAAAAATAATTTGGGGGAAAATGTCAGGACCAGAGTATTTAATGCATTATCCCATTAAGACAATAGCCTCACAATGTTGTTGTTTTTTTTTTAAATAAAACTCAAGCTCTAAATGCTTTAAATATAAAAACAAGAAAAATTCGGATACGGTTTAATGTTTGGTTTATATGTTACCGGCAAGGTGTGAAATGCAGTATAGAATGCCTGAAGTTTTTAGGCAAAGTATGAAATATTTGATTTTCGTGATTATGTTTCATACTTTGCCAAGGCATTTTATACGTTGCCTAAGTATTATACATAATGACAAATCTACTTCAGGCAAAGTTTCAAAAGAGCGGTATGAAAACGTTTTTATTGCAAAAACACATTTGAAAACGAAAGAAGAAATATGAAATATGTATAGGGCGTTCTTAACAACGAGCCCGGAAAGCAAAGGTGGCATCGAACTACTTGTTGCAGCAAGTAAGGCTGTAGTGGCATTTTGAATTGCAATTAATTGTCTTTTTAACACAAAGACACCATGTTTTGGTTTTGGTCTTGCAATTACACTTCACGACTCCTTGGCGGCGTCCTGTTGACTGAGAGGTAGCAACAGATCGGAGAGGTATCTCATGGTCAAGGTCGTCTTCAGCTGTTATCTCGTATACAGATGTTTCAAGATGCAACGGTTTCCACTAGCTGGCTAAACCAGGTGAGGGTAGCTGATGGGCCTCAAGCACTCGGTGATTTAGGTCTGCCTACCTACTGCATGCAAAGCCTGGACGTCGACGGATCCTGTGGAATAGACCATTTAGGTTAAACGGAGGTGAAGGCGGTTACAGCAACGCACCGTGGAGTGTGTAGAGCAAGGTGAGGCACGTAGAACACCTTGGTCATCCACTGCATTCGTAGCCATCTCCGGTCGTCTTGACTTAGTCTTGCCGCTGGACACGGTGGGTCCGGACAAGAAAGTGAGGTTGACACTGTGCAACTCTTCCTCACTTTAAACAAAGTCACCCGCTCAATCATCTGTCATCAGACACCAATCATCCCAAGTCTTGTGGCGACAGGCAGGCCCTCCTAAATGCATGCATTCCGAGCCCGGATCGGTCTAGCACGTCACCTACGAGCTCACCGTAACCCACCCTCCCCCTAACGGGATGACCCGATGGTCCTAGTCGATTTCGACGGATGAACAACAACACATTGCCGGGTAGCTCGCTCTGAAATAAAAATCATTTCATACGTTGCCTACAAATTTCAGGCATTCTATATAATTCCTAGGCATCATCTACAATGCCGGATTTCACACATTGCCGGTAACATATATATAAAATAAAATGGAGCGCAATTTTGTCATCTAAGGTATAAACCTACGAAAAATTGAAATGAAGAGAAACGAAATTTAAAATATTAGTCATATCCAATTCTTAAGTGAATAAAGACAAACTAATAATTATTGTTGATGCCGAAAATGTCAAATAACTACTTACTACTAAATTGTACATAATTTATCCTGTATTTTGCAATATAGTATTAGCTAAAACTGGTGTCGTAAACAGCATTTTGTGTGTAAAGCGATCTTATAATTATTATGCATTTTGAATTAAAACAAATGAAATCTTACTTGAAAAATATCCTTAATTTTATTCGCTTTGTTGGCCATTGGTTTTTTTTTCAGATTTTTATTTTTGATATCTGTTTTAATGCGTATTTGCGGTCATACATTATTTAATTAATGTTAACTTTTTCAAACCGTAATAAATAACTAACACCAATGAAGCGATTTGGGGAAAAGAGAAAGTCCAGTTTTTTCTGTCACTACGCAAATTGCCGACACATGCTTAGCAATTTACAGAGTTTCAATCTATTTTAATTATTTTTGACAAATTTCTTTCTAATCATTTACTTCATGTTTATCCAGCGTAATTTTTGTGTGTGCACACGTGACTCTCTCGCTCGGTTCATCATCTATCTCGTAGTGATCTAAGTTGTTGATCGGGGTTAATCGTTGCTTCTTGCAGTGAACGGCTAGAGTAGGGTGGGTAGGGGAGCTCAGATGAGAGATGTAGGATTTTAGGAAAGGGTGATTCTAAATTTGCTTTTTATTTTTATTCCTAAGAAAAGAGGAAATTCACTTTAACCGGGATTTTGCAAGCATTCGTTTTTTTTTGTTATTTTTTTTTGTTTTTTTTTTTTTGTTGTTGTTTTTTAAAGTACATAATTCTACTTTTGCAGAAAATTTAAAGATTACAATTGTAAAACTATAAAATGGATTATTTTTTTAAGTACACTTTGAAAGAAAATATTTTCTAAGAAAGACGAGTTAAAACGCACTTAAAAGTAGAAAATAAATTAAAATTTCTTAAAATATTCCCGCCCCCCGCCACCCCCGCCTCACTCTTATTTTAAATTTACTACATTTTCTTAAATCATGGTTTTTATGTCATGTTCTGTAATTTGAATGTAAAAAAATTGCTGTTTGTATAATTATGTTTAATATGTAATGTCTTTTGTCTGTGGTCTTGTGTGTGTGTGTTTTGTATTGTGAAAGTATTATCAGGCTAGGTCAGGGCTCGGCAACCTGCGGCTCTTTTGATGTCAAGATGCGGCTCTCCAGTTCCATGCGCAAATATTAATAATTATATTGAAATAAAAATGTTAGTGGCTCTTTAAAAACTGGGAAATTTTGTAAATTGTAACTTTTGGCTCTTCCGTCTCAAAAGGTTGCCGACCCCTTGGCCAGGTGTGTGTTGTTTATTGTTTAGTGTTTGTTTTTGTTTGTTTTTTTTTTTGTTGTTGTTTTTTTGTGGGTTGCTTGTTTTAACTCTTTGGTTGTTTTATTTGTATGGCTCTGTCGCTATCTAATGTGTCAACAGCACCTCCTTGTATGAATTGTTTAAGTGTGGAAGTTTTTGTAGGATTTTTATGCAAGTAATCGGGGTATATCGTCCACCTAGAACACAGGTTCTCAATTTTTTTCCGACCACCACCCCCTTGGGACCATAATTTAATCACGACCCCCGACCCTTTATGTCTTACCCCATAAAAGTTCTTATATTAAACTCAGCACGAACTTCTATGCTAGATTACTACATAAATAAATGTTAATGTAATTCAAATATTGTAACATTTAATCAAAACACTAATGCAACGTAATATTTGTTTAATTACAAAGAGTTCAAGCAGTATCTCAGTTCCTTGAAGACTGGTTATCATTTAACAATGTTTTAGACATCTAACCTTTCCGCTGTTCGTATATGCTTAAGGTAATGAATTGCTTGGTAAAGCTTTTTCAATGATTTTTTTCAGTCTCTTGGCACAAATTTCATTAGCTATTTTCATATTGCCATGCAATTTCTTAGCTTTGAGCAAAGCTGTAGAGCCTAAAGACAATATCTTACACCAGATAAAATGGAGAGACTGAAACAAGGCGCTTCTTAACCATATTATGCGAGATACTGAAATGGCCACGTAGATCATGAGTTCTGAAGCCAAATCTCAAGGGAAATTATAAATCTCTCGGACTACCTTTAGAAAATCCAAATGGCAAACAAAACACTACCATTTCTTGTATCTGGCATCGCCCCCTCTTCTTCTAGCTTGGACGTGCTAGGAAAGTAAAATTACGCCATATTGCCAATAAAGCGCTTAAATAGAATAAACTAGAAGAGAGCTAGGAACATAACACAAACTAAACATTCTTCTCCGGAAGAATTATTTGAAGAAAGATGTTATTGTAAAAACTAAACACATTTTGGATGAAACATTTCACACTCTTCATCACAGATACTTTGGATCGGCCCGTTCCGGACGAATTCTTTCCGTCAGGGCCAGGACTGAAAAATATAATAATTATTTTGTTTCCCAATCTGTACGAATTTACCAGCGTGCTCCCCCTGAAGTCACAAATTTTAATGACAAC